CGGCTCCCTTGGTGCCCCTGGCGGCGTTGGCGACGGACGGACGGACCCCCGTGGGGTCGGTCACGGGCGGCAGGACCCGGCGCGGGTCTCGCCTTTGGCCGTACGAACTAACTCGTGCGGTCTTTTACCCTCGGCGCCCTTTGCTTCTGCAGAGTAAGTGCCGCCGTTTGCAGGTTGTGCTTGTGTTTGTATTGCTCAGTAATGTAAACATGTTATTGTGTATAAAAAGTTTATGTGCTGTGGCAGGGGTGGGTTCCATAGAAATTAAAAATGGAGCGCTTCGTGAGTTATAAAAATAAAATTAGTTTATTGATGCCCCGAGGCACTTGAAACAAAATACGATGAAAATTGCAACTCAAGTTTTAACATGAAACAAGACGAAAATGAACGCTTGGAGAGCGTGTACCTAATGAGTAATGCTGAGCTGTGTCAGGTGTAGTGAGCTGCTGCAGTGCGAGCTGGAGAATCCTTCGCGTATACTGTAAGAGAAGGAGCGGACTTCCAGATGAAACGGTTCAGCGTGTGTGTAAATAATCCCTTCTCCAGAAATTTCTTTTTAGAATTTGTTCGCATAGGGTGCTTATTTTATCTTGTTGTTAAAAAGCATTAACAATTTTGTGGCAATGCGTTGTAATTGTTTAAGACTGCAATATCTGTTTCCTTTGGGACAAGGGAAGAATACAGTTCTCCTTTTGTATTGATATCCTGTCTAATAGGATAGGAAATTTTTGTTCTGATTTTCTTCCTTTAATGTTTCAGTGAGAAAATTCGGCCATATATTGTGAAATACATGAGTGCTGAAACTTTATGACAGTGGCTTATTGCACGTTATAAATTCTGTTTCAGACCTCTGAAATCAGCCAATGCTAACCTGGGAGTGGCGGTAGTGAGCACATTGCAAAATATATCAGTTATTTTAGGCTTTAAAAAGTCATTCCAATAATCTTTTCCCCTCTTCCCCGTAGTCATTTACATTTTCTGAGCTAAACACTGTATTAATTACAGGACTATTATAGATGCAGCTTATAGTAGCTATTTTTTTTTTACCCATAAAAGGGTATATGTCTCTGTGCTAGTGAATTTTTTTGCTGTTGTTTGTCATTGTTTTTTCTTATGGTAGAATAATTTTAGCTACTTTCAAAATGTTTCACCAGACTTTTGTTGAATTGTCTCGTTCAGGTGGCCCAGACAAATAGCGTCCTCCACAGGACTCTGTCGGTTTGGAGGTAGAATCGACTGTTGCTGGGGCTGGGCCCGTTTATCTTGGGGGCAATGCCAACGTGAGTATCACTGCTGCTGGGGCTTCTAGTCACTCGTAGAAAAGGCTTGCACACACCTAATTATATCTTTCACACGTTCACACACATTCTTACAATGCAGGGCTTAGGCTTTTGCACGTGTGAGTCTGACTTGCTTAAAAGGATGTTGTCAGGTTTAAATTCAGTCTGTTATTAACAGTACTGTAAAAGATTGCAACTGAATAAGGTAAAATTTGGTTAAGGCAGTAAGAATTTGTTAATTTGATTTGTTTCAAATTCGTTGCATGGTCTGGTGTTATAGCCTGACGTAACACTGCAGTATGTAATGTTTCATGCGCTGCAGGACAGGAATGTTTACATTATTTAAAAAGTCAATGGAAATATTTCAGTTGGTATTAAGTTGGTATTAAGATTCTTTCAGTAATCCCAAACTAAGGGTGTAAATGAGCCTGACAGCATCCTTTTGTTGGGTCACACATCAAGAGAAACTTCTCTGAGATTCTCGCATCCTCTTAGAATTTTTGATATAATTTCAGGATAATCAAATAGTTCTTCCTCATTTAATACTTTTTCAAAAAATATTCGGTGCTGGCAGGTAGCGTTGTGTAGAAGTTACAGTTGTTAGGAGTGTCATAGAGACCTCAGCCTCTTAAAATTACAAACTTTATCCCTGGGAACCCTTGCTCATGTGCTTAACAGTACATACATGAGTGATTTCCTGTAAGTTTTTTTCAGGAATGAACCTGTAATTACCGGTTCTTAGCATTTTGATTTAGGTGCAAGTGTCTGTAAACTAGATTATTTTTTGCTAAGCCATTTTTAAAGTAAAACAGGAATTGAATACTGTTAGTTGCTTAGTCTGCAGGGCAGTGAAGGTAGACAAGAGACAGAGATAGCTTTGGAGATGCAACTGTAGACTCTAAGCAAAGGTTTTGTTCAAATCTGTAAACAGCATGACTGGCTCCTTCCTTCCCAAGTTTGTTAAAAGCACGCAGTGTTCAATAGACATGTGAAATGACTGGTGTGTGTATATATATATAAAGGTGGTGTAAAATACTTCCGGAGCATAGTATCCGCAGTCCTGTCTTTAGATTCAGAGTTCTCAGATTGGTATCTCTTAGCCCGTACCATGAATCATTTTGATTTTAGGGCTGTGGTTTGCAACAGAAACAGTCATTTCCCTGAGTTGAATGTTTGTAGAGAAGGAAGGAGGATGTGGAGTAGGTTGGTTGAGGTCTTTCCAGAGGCGATAGAAACTATGTCCATCTTTCGTAATACAGTTTTGCTTGAAAAATCTTTGAGCGTGTAAATGTTTAAGACTACAAAGACTGAACTGGCAAACATCAGTAATCTGCTCTGTGAAAAACATTCTCACTTTGTCCCTTTTCTTAGTCAAGTTGTCTCCTGTGTTGTGACCATAAGTTTCAGCTCGCTGATAGCATTTAGACTGCAGTCAATTGCTGTTATGTCTATCCTTTGATTTCTCACTATTACCAAGTTTGATTTGAGTTTGCAGTTTGCCAAGTTTATAGTCTGGGGAGGTGGCAGTCGCATAAAGTAAAATTAGCAAAAAAGGCATAACTAAAAGTTGAAAACAAAATGAAAACAATAATCAAAAAGTAAAAAAATTTTTTTGTTTTAGTCTTTGAATTTTGTCAGTGAAGCCATTTGGAGTGACTTAACCACTTTTTTCACATTCTGTAAGCATCCTTTTTTAAGGCAAGAGCTAGGTAAATTCTCATCTCCTCCCACTGCGTTTAAGTCCATTTTTCACAGCTTTGTTCCCCATTCACTTTTTCACGAAGTGCAGAGATGCATTTTATGTGGTCATCTCTAGTATTTGGGACCAGAGTTTCAAAGCAATGCAATTCTCACTGCGTTCTCAGTACCTTTTTTTTCCCAATTTTCCATACATCAGGTGCTGAGAATTTCAGAGTATCTGATTTAGAAGATTCTTGGACGTTTGGGTGAAGATCTTTTTAAAAACTTAGCAGCTCATTCTATTTTTGAAGTTGGAGCCAAACTGTTTTTAGAAAAACAAAGCAAGAAAATCTGCCCCAGTTGTGCGTGGTGAAAATTCCAGTCATGTCATATATAGTGGGAGATTACACTAAATGAGAATGAATCTTTCTAGTGCTGGAGCCAAGCAGCAAATCTGTAGTCAGTTCTCCACCTTGGGAACGTTGGCCTTCAGTACGAAGGATTAACCTGGCGCGGAAGGTGGCGTGCCTGGCCTCAAAGGAAACCTTCAGTGTTGCAGGGATATCACTGAAAATTTTCTGAAAATCCAAGTACACAATTGTTTCTCCTGCTCTCTGTGGCAAAAACGAAACCTCTTAGTCCTGTCCCTGCAAAGGGTGGCACATGTACATGCCAGGCTTTCTTTACTAAATGTGTTTTCTTTATCACTTCTAGAATAAGTTATATTTATGCATGAAAATGAATATAGAGTCAGAATTTAAAATGAGTAGCGAGAGCCAGTTTACAAATGAGTCCAAAAAGGAGCTGCAAATATTCAGGCAGTAAGATCGTGCTGAGCTCTGTATTAGCAGACTTGAACTGCTGTACTCAAACTAAGTAGTTTAAACCATCCTTGCTATGTCTGTGATTGCTCCAGCACTTTTGGACTCTCCTGTTTAGTTATGCGTAATTTACTGTGAACGTACTCATCACCTCTGAATTTAGCTTACTGAGAACAAACGTAAGGTGGTGTGAACCAGCGAGTAGCAAGAATATAGACCCAGATACATGACAGAGTTGCCTCAGTTTACAGAGTTACCACATGTCCTCTGAACCATGATGAGCCATGGACAAGTGATTGCAAACACACTCAGACACATTTCCTGCTGTCCAGCTGAGCTGTGCTGGCTGCTTTCCAAACACACGTGGACATGCCTCCTGCCCACAGCTATTGAGAAGGAAGTGTGTTAGCTTAAAGCAACTGTATGGTTTAAAGTAATGGTTTAACCATGAAGGAGAATTAAGCCAGTACTTGCCAGCTCTAACAGGGTAGGAATGTTGCTCAGCTGACAAGTGGTAACTCATTAAGCCATGGTAACTCCATTCTCATGATTGTCCATCCATAATCTGTTGCAAATGGAAACTGGACTGAGTTAGCCAGACTTGCTTTGGTGAAGTGCAGAGTGATTAATTTTATGTCACTTTGAGTAACATAGGAGTGTACATGTGGCATAAACATGCTTACTGCTGCTTAATAAGTCAGCATAACTCAGCTATCTTTTTCACTCGTATAAATGTCTAGGAAGAAGCTGAAATCAGACTTCTTTAATTTACACTTTTCCTTTGAAACATCACCTGTCTCCTGTTAATAAATTACAGCAATCTAGACCTGTGCATGTAAGGAGGTGTAAGTAGGTCTGATTTCCGAAGCCTTCAGTATCAGCTTTAACATTTCAGCTGGTGGAAGTATGCTCTGCACCGTGTCATAAAATTGCCCTCTCAAATGCTCTTCCCAGCTCCAGAAAATCTACTTAGAAGGTATCCCTCCCACTGCAGTAATCCCAGCGATTTTGAAGCAGGTTGGATTTTTTTAGTTCCTAACGGTTTATGAACACCAAAGTGAGATCCAAGTTTAGGCAGCTAAATCCGTTTTGAGAGTGGTGTAAATACAGCCATATTTTTAAACGTGCTAAACAAATATAACTGCAAATAAATGCATTGGCATTTCTAAGTCATTGTAAACTGAAAATCAGCCCACTCTTAATTAGTGGCCTAACTAGATTTAGGTGGATACATTCCATTATTAATATGACTAAGTAGCCTTTCTCAGGTTTTGATCTGGTATATAAACTAGGTTTATTGGTGTGTTAAAAGGCGAATTTGGAAGCAGCAGGTCTTAGTTCGTGTGAAGTAACATCATCATCAGTAGAGCTGATTCTGCGCATGGAACTCACAGGGTTGGGGCTTAAAAGTTAGATATTGCTAAGTTTCCCAGTTGAAATTAGTCCAAAAATCTCATATTATTGTCCTGTTTGTAGAATTTACTTGTGTCTTAGTAACTGTGAGTAATCCCCCAAAAGCTTACTTCTGTGAAAAAAAGCTATGCTAATAAAAGTGCCTGATGAGAGTTTTGTAAAAAGTACAACTATTGCCTTGGATTTTTATGCAATGTTGCTGTGCGCCCATCAAAATTATAGAGCGAATATCCACAATATGCTTTTAATTCATAAACTTCTCTTGCATTGTGAGGCACTGCATCTGTGGTACTGGGTGTGTTTTCCTGACACAGAACCCATTCTGTGCATTTTGAAGCGTACAGATGAGTAAGGCAAAACTGACCTGGGACGTTCATCATTTCATGTATCTCACAGAGGTGCACTTTTTCAGCCACTGGCAGAGAAACTTTGCCTTGGAAGGTTAATTCAACCTTTTTTTTTTTTAAATGTGTTGTTTAGCACCAATTTTTATGATTTGAAATATCTGAGGGAAGAGAATTTCCAGCAGAGGTAGGGCTGGAGCTCAGTTCTTTGTGAGCTAAATGAGAAATGACAGCTCCAGGGTAGAAGACATTGTGACCATTCCTGTGTTGTAGCTCTGGTCTAGGATACCAAGTGAGAGCACTTCCAGCTGAAGTGTATCTCATCCCCTTATAGAATATTCTCACAAACATTTCTTTAAGGATGACCGTCTCCCTAAGCCTTTCTCAAGGAAAGGATAATCTAGGCCTTTTTGTCCAAGGGTCTCTGCTAGGCCAGAGGTAGGCCAAACTGCATGCAAGTCCGTGAAACCAGTGCTGACTGACCCCAGCTGACAGTCTAGTGTACAGAAATCAGCTGTGATGAATATATACGCACATATTGAGCTTTGCAAACTGGTTAGCCTATCAGAAAACTAAAATACAGGAGAAGAGATGTGTTAATTTCATGCAGAAACTTAAATGTTCTGTGATGTTCTTTATTCTTCAGTATGAAAGTGGAAATTGTTCCTTTTACCTTCCAACAGGCTATGCTAGGGGTTATTTGAAAGATATTATTTCTTGCTTTGTGGACATATTTGCTCATATTCCAGCTGAGTTCCTTAAACATCATTCTTAGAACTAGTGGTCTATCTGCCTTTCTTCTAGCTAGCTTACAAATACCTTTTCACAAACAAAATACACCTGCTTTGTACTTGGCTGCGTGTCTGTTTGCAACTCATTTGTATGCTAGTTATACACAGACAAGCTACTCTGAAGATGTAGGCTGCCTTTTGCTTTGAAATTTCACCTGCCAAGAACTAAACTCATTTGAATACAGAAGAGCTGATAGCAAGAGATACTTTAATGTAGATTTAAAAGGTTAAGTTATGGTTTTTTTTTTGAAGACAGGCAATAGAAAGCTGCTTGAATTTTCATTCTGGATTACAGTTTGGACAACTCCTTTGCTAGAGGCAATGGCAGCAATAGTTCATTTTGCTGCATTCACCTTTACAAAATAGAAGGTTGGATCTGCAGCTTCTGTGAATTGATGCTGGTCTCCTGTCAGATCCTCTGTTGGCATGAGTCTGCATGACTGTTGAAGTCGGCAGAGGTCTGCCTATTTAAGCACTCCCGAGAATTTGTCCAGTGGACAGAAAGTTAGATGAACAAGAGATGTTTATTGGGAGTAAAATCTCACTGGATTTTGTAAGTAGTGATGTTACTCGATTATTTCACTCATCTAAATGCTGAATTCTCCTTAAGTGGTAACCAAGTGTATAAGGTATGTCTTCAGAGGGGATTATGAAGATGAGTGTGCACTTTTAGGGTGTCTGTGTGTTGTAACTCAGTCTTGTTATTTCCCCGTGCTGAGGTTTCTGAGTGTTCTACCTAAGAAACAAAACCAGAATAGGTCAGCAAAGTAGTTTCCCCACCATCTTACAATAAAATCATGACAATTAGTTTTTAAAAGTGTAGGGACAGAGCAGTCAAGAAGTCGTACTGTGCAATAGCACATTAGTAAAAGTATAGTCGAATGATCATTTCACACCTCATCTTCGTATTGCATCAGTAAAAAATGTTCATCAAAGGCTGTCTGGTTAGCGTTTAGACTTAGCCAAACCTAGTAAAATGCATGCTATTTCAGGAGGTTCTTAGATGGACCTCCAAGAGAGAGGGGGAGCTTGTACAAGCTGACATAACAGATGCAGGCATAACTAAATGCTTTGCTGGAAATTGTGCATGCTGCTGCTTTCTTACAACAGCTGTGAAGAAACTTGCACAGTCTGTGCTGCTGCTCCTGTCCTCATGAGCTTAAAGACTGTATCTGTGCTGTGTATACTCTATTTACAGATATGCAAGGTGGTGGGAGGGGGGAAGGGATGGTTGTGCTCTCATTGATGCCTACAAGGAGATTTTATATAACCAACTGTAACGTTGATGGGAGTAAAAATCATCTCTCATACACCAATGGGAGAAGAGGCCCTGAGTTGTTTAGGACTTCTGTTTCTTGCACATAACAACGCTTTAAATGGAAATGGCAATTCTGTATAGTCCAAGATGCACAAATCTTTAGCAAAATAAAACCATAATTTTGTCCATAACGAGCCATGAAAATACTGGCTTCTGGGAGTTTGACCCATTGGCAGAAACCTCCTTAAAGTCAGTAATAGTTTTGCTAGTAAATTTGTGGTTGCAAGAATAGAGCCTACCTGAATGCGTTGTGTTGACAATGTTAATGAATATGGATATGCAGCATATCTGGCTGTTAAAACATAACAAATGTCTTTGTGCATTTTCATGTATTCTTCAGAGAAAAGACACTTTATACAGAATTGCAATACTGCTTTAATATTGCCATGCAAAAAAGAATATGAGGTTTTGCTATTTTTATTCAATTACTTTTTTTTCAATTCAGAAGCTTTACAGTTCTAAAGAAGCTATAAAAATATGACTTTACTATGTTAAAGATACAGTATCCTTCCCACTCCCTCATTGTACCCTTCCTGCACTTCATATGTAGGAGAATAGTTTTGCAGTCCAGTTTTTCCCATGAAAAGCTTACCAGTAACGTGGTTTGACCATTTACAACTGTAGTATAGTCATTCTTGGAGCTTTTCTCAAAGCCCAGCAACAACTTGGGCTTTGGAACACTCCCTCCAGTGGGCTTCTGGAACAACCACTAAGAGACGTTCTGGTTAAAACTGATTTAAACTGGTGTGAGTTGCAAGCAAAGCAAACCCTTAAGTGTTGGTCACCTAATACCTACAATACAAAGAACTGCTTTTGCTGAAGTCCCAGCCTTTTATAGTAAGGTTGTGTAGCTTAACAGTCTGTGCTGCTAACATTCATTTTATTAGCAAATAAATTGGTTTAATTTGAGCCCAAAACATAGATCTGTTTGCATCTTGTTTTACTTTCGTATTCAGTTGCATGTGCTAGTAAGAGCTGAGGTGGTCTCTAAGCATTAGTGTTAGTTTAGTCGGCATTCACAATTTAAACATTACAAAATGATTATTAAATTTATATGCCAGCATCTTTATTGGTTGCAGATATTCAGATACTTAACAATGCATGTAATTTTAATTACTCTCAAATTAGCATCCAGATGCTAACCATTTACGTTTGCTTTATAGAGATGCAGCATTAAAAATATGTTTATTTAAATGAAAGGATACTGTCTCTTTAAGAAAAGCTTTTCTGTTCTATTGATGAAAATATTGCACTTAAACCATGAAACATGAGAATTTTTACAACTGTGTACCATATGAAATGTGACAAAGTGTAGCTCCTTAGTTGATTGAATAAGAATAGCATCTCGTCATGATATTTAACTACTCTTATGTATCAGAACGTTTGCTAAATCTCATAAAGAAATACTGATGTACAGTATTTCTGTTTTAAAATGTGTACCAGAATTTTTTTTTTTTTCCAGAAAGGCTCTGAATGTTGAATGTGTGTAAGTCTCCAGGAATGTAACAAGTTGATAAAAACCCCAGCCAAGTCCATCCTCCTTACAGGAAAAAAAAAATGGAATTTCTTTTTTTGGATATTTGTTTTGCAGCTTTCTACGTCTTAAGGCAGAGAATAGCCAGCCTAAGGTGCCAGCCCAAAGGTTAGCTGAACATATTTCTTGAAATAATTTTGGCAAGATTGTGGCTTGGAGTTATGGCCTCTAAGTCATAAGTTTATAAGTTTACATGAAAACTATAATATATGACAAGAAGAAGTTCTTTTTTTTTTTAATTATCTGGTTTGGGGAAGATGAGGGGGGAAGAAATTTACAGGGCTGTTCTATTCTGTTCACCTATCTAATGAAAGATACATGCTTATCATCTGAAATATTGCGCTTTTCCCTTTTGCTTTTCCTTTATCTTTTTTTCCCCCTTAAGCCCTAAGAAATATTTTTCTTTCCTGCAAATCGTTTATGCTGCCAGCACCGCATTTACAAGCTGACAGAGTTAAGAGACCTGATTTTACTTTCAAGGTGTTGAACCATGTGCAGTGGGAGATTTGTTTGGGATAGCTGAAGCACTTATTGCCCCCAGTTGTCTGCTTTGCAACTCTACTACAGCTTGTCATTCTAAAAACAGGGAAACTTTACAGCCCCTGATCTACAGCACCGTATAATCTGGCATATTAAAGCACGATGAAATCAACACCAGTTCGCATTAGTATTCGAGGTTATAGTCTGCTGTTGCTTAGGAATTGATATGTCTTGTTTAGTTATCCCTGTGGTGGGAACGCTGGTCATCAGAAGGGGAGCAAAGCAATCAGCTTTTCATCTTTGCATTAAATTCAGCTTTGTCACTGCGGTGCAGAATTTATTTCACTGAAGCCAGTGGGTATTATATGTTATAAAGAAGATAGTAATAGGGCCCAGTTTCTGTTCTGCCACCGTACCTAGTGGCACTCATGCTAGGCTGCTTCTACCAGCTGGAATTCAGGAGACATGTAGAAAGATGAAGGTAGCAAACATGCATCGGAGGTGATAAAGCTCTATTCGTTAAGTGATTGTCATGAACCACTCAAAGTGCAAATATGAAAAGCTTGAGAAAACATGAAATGTTTCTTGCTTGTCCAGAGAAGAATTCTAATTCTGCATATTTCCTGGATGAAATTGTCACTGATTTTTTAAAAGTGTGCATAAGCATCTGATTACCTTTCACTGACCTCATTAAATCCTATTGATTTCAGTGCTACCTGAGCTTATGTTTAAAGTTGTGCGTGCTTTAAAGAGTTGTTCTGTCTGAATAGTAAGGCATTCTTGAACTAGGATCTGGATTTGCATATGCAGTTTAGAAACACATTTGGCAGCAGTCATAGTCAAGCAAAGAATTCACTGCAATGAGTAGCCTCCGCTCCCCCCCCCCCCCCCCACATTCATATGTGCAAATTGAGTAACTGATTTACCCAGGCAAATGTGGTAGTTGTGCATGTAAAATTAGGAGCTGCTTACTTAATGCTACTGTGTATTCTAGGTAGAAGCTTATGAGTGCACTTTGACAATATTCGTTATAATGAATGCTACAGATAAGTGCAAATCGTTTTTGAAAAAAGACTTAGTCACTAGATACTACCATTTTATCTGATGATGCTGTCAGTCTTTAGCTACAGCAGTTGGTCAAGGACATTTGTCTTTCAAAAAATGAAGGAATGTTCTGCCTATCAAATTATCTGAAAATTAATGCCCAGTTGCCCTCATCAGGCTTACTGAAGTCTACCGAGATGCGTGTTGTGACTTCCGGTACACTTATTTGGGAAACAAAGTTATTTTTTCAGGAGTAATTTTGTAATTTGAGTTATAGGTTATGTCATGCTTTTACCACCTACTGCGTGGTAGGTTCAACTTTATGCGTTATCCTGCATTCGTATGTGGTTGAGCAAAAAAGAAAAATTTGAAAGATGTGCAGCAGTTTATTTTGCAAGTTAGCTAGTACTTGGAGAATCTCTAGATAAAAATAATTGTGAATAAGGCAGATTTTTGTTATTTTACTGAGTGTGTTGTTATGACATGTTGTTACTTACATCTGTAGGATTGCCAAGTATAAATAGAAATAGGCAGATGTTTCACAGCCAAGTTGGCTTTGAGGAGAAAAGATATAGAACTTCAGGTTATGGTCTGTTAGGCTGCAGGAAAGAGGGAGACTGAGGTGAAGGAGGCTACATAAAAGACAACTTGCTGCACCAACAAGCAAGTCTAGATAATAAAGTTGGCGCTGTGGTGTAAAAGGATCCGGTAAAGGTTTGTGAAGCTGTCTGTAATAGTATGTAATAATCTCTGTCCTGATGCATAAATTACTTCCTGTGTTTGGATAAAGTGAATTTTAAAGAGCTGCGATTTAGGGACGGAATGAATGAGTGGCTGTATGTTATGTAGGGAGAGGGGTTGGAAGCAAGGCCGTTTGGGCAGACGGTCAGCACAGTCAGTTTCAGAAACGGGTGTTCCTATGGATATTTTTAGACTTCAGAGAGGCGAAAATAGAAGTTCAAGGGCAGGTTGAACATCTGCAATCTGTCGTTTTGAGACAGATTTGAGTGGGGGATGCAGAAAGAGCGACTAAACTTTGAGGGCAGCTTTTTTCAGTTGAACCCTCTTGTGGATCTCGTGTAAGAAAGCAAGTACATGGAATACAAAATAGCTTTATTAAGAAGTAGAAATTGAGAGAAGAGACAAAGCAGAGAAAAAGATGCAAGATCTGGGTATGTCCTCAAGGAATTATGCTCAAGGCTGAATTGACAGAAGACATAGCTGGAATTATTGGAGAACCAAATAAGAATTACATTAGTAGAGATACCCCACTAGCAAGCAGTGGAATATCCATCGTTGGCCACAGTTAAAAAAGAGCGTTTAGGTGGGCAGGCAGTGCAGTAATCTAATTAGGACTCCACCAAACAGTGCGTGGTAATCAAACAGTAAATCATTAAGGTTAAAATTTTAGATGGGAATAGAGGTGACAGCACATGGTAGTGGCTGATGCCCTCAAAAGGTAGGCAGTTTAGCACAATTGAACTGACAAAAGCCTGAGGGGAGCTTCCAGAGTAGTTTTGAGGGGATTGTGTGGAGGGAGAAAATACAGGTGAAATGGAAGGAAAAAAAAACTCAACCCATTTGTAGACCCACAATGAATTAATTGAATGAATTTTTCATTCGATTGAATTTATGCAGCAATTAAACAACAGTAATTCAGAACGATTTAGTCATGCTTAGGCAGCATCAGCTGTTAGTAGTGGCTGGATGGGTGGCTTTTAGCTTTTACACAAGTTAACACAGGCTGACAGTGTGTGTTTTTTACTACAACTTCTCTTTCTCCCACACTTGAAAAAACCCTAACTCAAACCACTCTCTTTCTCATGTTTCAATTCCCTGTATTATTTTTACAGGAAATTTAATTTGTCCTGAAGTTTAAGTGAAACTTAAAATGTGGTATTTATCATCTTATTTTGGGGGAAAAGGGAGTTCTTGCCAATCTTCAAAATAGGTACTCTGTTACGTTTATGGCCGAATAAAAAGCTGTATACCTCCGTAAGTCCCATTGAAGTCAGTGGGAATAAGAGAGAGGGCATCTCTTTGCATCTGTCCTAGAGTAATAATTTAAAAAAAGCAGACAGGAATGAATGATCATGAGATCAGTGTTTATTTTCTGATATCTCCTGAATGAACTGGGCATCAAGTGAAATGGGAAGCTTAGCTGTAGGTTAGTTTATGGCCTAGATAGATAAGTAGCAGTTGACTAATTAGCAGGATAGCTGTGCTTAGAATAGCCTTCTGTTTTAATCTGCTTCACTATACTATGAGGATGCCTATTTCAGTCCTTTCAGAAAGGAATCCTGGGAGAAATTATAGCTTTTTGTCGACGTTAATACAACAGTAAATAAGGAATCTTCTGTTTGGTGGCAAGCTAGTCTCTAGAACAAGTGTACTTAGGTGCTCTTAACTTTTATTTATACAAAATTACTCTATAAAGAGTAGAAAGTTTGTTTCTTTTTGGCAACCTTCCCAGACTCTTGGCTTTTGAACTTCATTGTCTTAAGACAATGTCATAAGTCTGTAAGAGTGTGACTTTCTCAGTCTGGTGTCACTCTCCAGTGTCTACATTTCTTCCTTGTCTAGTTAAAAAAAAAAAAAAGTGTCATGTAGCAGTCAAAAGTCCCTACGTGGACTAGGCTTATTTCAGTCATTTTTAAACAGTCGTCGTAAATGTGAGTTGTTCTGAGGGAAATTATGTTCCATTTGTTTTATTATGGTTGGTTGTGGGGGAGCTTTTTTATTGTCAGGATGCAGAGAATATTAATTGGGAGACATTTTCTTTCATTTACTTACTAATTGTATTAAGAAGTGAATATACTCAGTGTGTTCATATGAGAGCCAGGAGTGTTTGGAATTTTGTAAGAAAATAAGTTGAGTGGAAAATTAAACGAAAAACCCACTGAAATCAACAGACGAAATTTAACCCTCGCCACGCAGTCTAGAGACATGCCGAATGACTGAAATAACTGCCTGCTATTAAAAAGCTGGAATTCAGGGTCAAGTTTATTTTTATACCCAGATGTCATTGTTGATCTTACTCACATGGAACCCTTTAGAAGGCAGGAGTGTATCTTTGCTGCCACTTAGGTTCTGCACCTCTTTCACCTGTTCATTATCCACACAGCATGTGTGAGGTCACTCCTGGAGGTCCAGCGTGGAGTGAATCTATTAGTCCCTTTGGCAAGGAAAGCCAGCTGAGAAGAAAGGATTATTTGCATCCTGGAGATGACGGAATGTGAGCTAGGCCACCTCTCTGGGCCTGGCAGAGGTGCAGTGGAAAAGGCAATATAGATGTAGCCAGTGGAATGCAAGCCACGTGCACAGACTTGGCTGAACGTGACGTATTACTTAAAAATCCTGAGCACCCTACAAATCTTCATTAAAACAAATGGGAAGACATACCCATTGCTCGGTGAGAGTGGCTTGGTTCCTGATAGGAAATGATATAAAATGCGTTTGTAGTGTTAGCAGAATTACAGATGTTGTGAAGCTTACTGCTAAATGCTTCTCTTTTTTTGTATATTAATTCTCAGTCATAACACTGTATTGAATTTCAGCTGTTATGTATAAATAAGATACAGAATATTTAAGTAGCTGAGATACACAGACTACGTTCTATGTTCTTTGTTGTTTGGCAGCAAATATGGGTTTCCAAATACCCGCTTAATGTGCAAAATGACATTTTATATTATCTTTGACTTTATGGGCACTGGTTTTCCAGGAAACTTTCACAGAAAGTTCATTAATCAGAAAAGCAGGGATTCTTAAGCGGTAGACTTTTGAGGCACTGAAGTCTCCTTCACTGGAGACTTTTGAAAACAGGCAAAAGATACATCTGTGATGCAACTTAAGTGCACTGAATTATATTTTAGTACTTGGGAGACGGCCTAAATCAAGACTTAACCTTTCTCTTGTCCTTTACCTGTATACCATACAAGACACCAAATGACTGCAGGTGTACTATGGGGCTAAGTTGATTGAGGTGTATGGGACTAGGTCATTTCTTCTTTCATTTTTTCTCATTTCTTCAATTCAAAGAATGAATGAAGTTGGTTCAATTGTCTTCATTTTGCCATCATCACCCCCAAGCTGGAGTTTTGCCTATGGAGTTAAGAGTCGCAGTGTATAATGAGGTCTTATGTAGCAAAGATCTTTTTTTCCTGTTTGTGACAGTGATTAAAAAGAGAGGAGGTTATCGTGTTCTAGTGGAAGACTCTGGAAGTTTTTCATGAGGCATCAGCTGCTTTTCAATCAAATCTATGCAGTCATTGCTCAGGGGCATGCTTTTTGAAACATTCTTTTTAGTAGTCTAAGCAGCCCCTTCCCCAACAAAATGAAAGATGTTTCTGTGATTCTGAATGCTTTCTTTGTTTCCGGGCGATGTTTATAGGGAAAGCATCTTGCATTAACTAAAAACACCTGTCTGTATTGCCTTTTAAAATATTCCTTAAGAAAGTTTTAGGAAAGAGACTGCACCAGCTTGTTAGGAGGAGCCATCAAGAGCAGTGCCATGCATTAAAAAGAAGGTCTCATATTCTCAGAGAGTACACTGGCCATATACATAAAATGTACATACATATATGTACAGAAAGATGTCCTGATAGTAGAGGGCAAACTCAGTCCTAAAACTTAAATGGAACAACCTCTTTCTATGCTACAGTTCCTTCTGTGGATGCAGTTATGGGAATTGCTAATTCTGAATTCTTTGAATCTTATGAAAAAGGTTGTAGAACATCAGAGATGTAATTGCATATTTCTTTCCCAACCAAAAGAAAAACTAATCTCTTATTTGAATTTTAATTTTATTTACTTCAGCCCTGTAGAACAACTTGTGCTAGAATGCAGGCTCCATTTGTGAGTGCCTTCTGACAGATTTCACTTAAATTAGATCCTTAATACATCCAGTTTTATGATATAGACGGCTGTCAGAGTCGTTAAAATTACAGCTGAATTTAGTTAGTTACTTCACAATTTCCAAATGATACCATTGTTTTACAAAATGAACTTAAAGCAAGGATAAATAATAAATCCTAACTGCAGGGTATCCAAGTTATGCCACTCTCTGATTTCTCTCTGGTTTTTATCTGTCTTGCTTAAACGGTAAGCTCACCAGCATTTTACGTCAGCATTTTGTCATATATCATGATAAGCATCAGTTTAGAGCATAGTAAATATTTCAGTTTTCCAGTAGGCTAAAACAATATGTTCAGTAATAGGAAGACTCTATAATAAAAATATGTGGCAATGTCTATTTAAAATTGTTTCAACTGTGAAATGTTTTCCAGAGTTATGCAGGATTCTTAGCACTCTGAAAATATTCCTATTAGCTAATTGTAGGTCAGTTGGAATAAATTCTTGAACTTATGTTTCTTCAAAAGCAATGTTTGTTTTATTATTGAAGTTTTGGACTTGGAATTGTATTTCTTCAAAAGTAATTTCTTATTGAAGTTTTAAAAGCTTGTTTTATGCATTTGATTTGTGTTTGAAGTAAGAGAGGCACCAAAAATGGCTTCATAACTATTATTTCTTAGAGTTCTGTAGTTATGCTCCAATTGGGGAATTAGAAATTACTTGGCAAGTTCGGTTCTGGAAGCAGAATAGAACATCACATTCTTCAGCTATATTTGTACAGCAGTTTTGAAGATATATACTTGAAATGTTCTGAATAGAAGTGTCTTGGACGGGTGCAGTGATAAAGTAGCATATTGCAGTGTTACTTTTGCTTTTACCCACTCCTTTTTTCCAGAAAGGAAAAAATAAATGTCATTCCCATGCCAGAATCCCAGCACCTGAAAGGGATACATTCAGCCAGAACATTTCCTAATGGGGGGTAAAAAATGTCATTGTCTTAAAATATAGTAGAGGAAATCTGTGAACGGTAGGAACTGTGTTGCTGCTTATCAGTGATTGAACTATGGCTTTGTTCATATGTCAGCTATGGCACGGATGTACACGTTTCCTATAGAGGTAGGGCATATTCCAGCCGTACCAAACTTATGAGACCTGAAGCATAGTACTTATATAGATAGAGTTAGAGGAGGCCTGCTGTGTGCTTGCTGATCAGGTACTGCAAGCGTTTAATATTCCAGAAACAGCACAGTGTACTATTATACAGAAATAGAATACTGGTGGATGGCTCATTCTTTCCATGTGTATTGGGGTGGTGCCTATTTTTGAAAGTGTACCTGTTGTTTGAACAGTACTATTTGAAACATGTAACAATGCTTAAGGGAGGAACGTAGTACCACTTACGTGTTAGGTTTTTGTCATTAATTTGAAAGTAATGTGCCATCAGCCATGACAAGAATAGAAGAGTAATGAGTGTTTTTCCATTTGCAGCTATATGCCAGCCAGGATGCAAACATGGTGAATGCATTGGACCAAACAAGTGTAAGTGCCACCCAGGATACACTGGAAAAACCTGCAACCAAGGTAAATCTAGGAAAGAGAACTTCTTTGTGAAATCACAAGAAGTATTTTGCAACTCAAAAAGAAGTGCTAATTGTGTCTTGCCTAGGAATGTTAATTTCCTCTTACGTTGCTAATTCTTCACAAGTGTGTAGTATTCATCGCAAGGTTGTGTATGTTGCCTGCAGTCATAGGTAATGAACTGAAATACCAGGTCTTTTCCTGCTGCAGCTATTTCAATATTGAGATTTACATTTGTAGGGAGAATGACATCTCCAGTGGACTGATACAAGGAGAATATTTGCTTTCATTCAGAAGTAGTCAATGGGATTCGTGTGAAGTATGTATTTACATGCTTTTCTGAATCTGGATTAAATAATTTAAATCTTGTGGTTAGGATTGCTATTTCATAGCTGAGTAACAATTCTTAGGTTTGGATAGTGAAGTAATATATGTTTAATTAGAAACAATTTCATTCCTGCACTCTTCTTTCTGTGTTTGTAATGTTGAATGAGTTAGCTAGCAAAAAGTTGTAATGTGTAAATTAAAAGTTGGAAAGGTGAAGTGTTCTCTTAATAAATTATCATAGGTAGCTTTCTTTTTTTTTTTCTGCCAAAACTTGACCTCCAAAACATGTAGTGATATAAAGAACGTACAGTATAAAACAGAATTATAATACAGAGTTTATTAGCTTTTGATGCCTAAGACATGTTCACATATAGAGATGTCCCATTAAGGCTGTTTTCTTTCCAGTAGTCCCAGCATACAGAAAACGTTCATAAATGTTTTCTGAGAATGCTGAGGAAGTATGACAGACAAATCTGCCAAAGTTAGAGCTAAGCTGCTATCTAAAAATGTATTCTCTGGTGTTTTTTCCTAACCTTCTTTTGACACGTTGATTTTGAAGTGAATTATTTTCTTTAAAATATATAAATATTTATTTTCAGATTTGCTAATCCATCCCAAAATGATATGGAAATAAATGTTGTGTTTTTCAGTTTTGTTTTGTGTCTCACTCTGTCATCTCTCAAATTATCCTTTCTCCTTTTCCCTTCACTCTGGACTGTCTTATTCTACACCTGTTTTGGTCAGTCTGGAACTTTTCTAGAAAATAGTTCAGCGAACTAACGGTTGTTACACGTATATGCAACAGTTATATACATTAATTACTGTAATAATATCAAATATATGTTGTGCAAATTGCTGAATACTGCAGTGTCTAGAACTAAACAATTCACTTTCAAAGAAGTGCTGAAGAGGGAAAAAGAACATGGTGGAAAATGATTAAAGTCAACCTTTTAGGCAGTATTGACCAAACGTTCTTGCGTGGTGTCAGTGACAAAGTTGCCATGGCAGATGTGCCTGAGTTGCCTGCAGACCGTCGTGGCCAAAACGTACATCATTTTAAGTGATTAGAGCTATATCTGTGCTACCTTATATGCTGAGACCCTCGAGCTGTTCCTAGGGTCAGGGTGTGCACCCTTGCCATGTGCTAATGCCACGTTAGGATGAGATCTGAATGTTCATGGTTCATGCAGAGCCCTGCTTTTGCTGGAAGGAAATCTAGATGTATGGGTGGGAAGAGAGCCACAGCATGGTCCAGCCATCCCCCATCTCAAGTACAGAGATTACATTAGATCTGTAGGGCATCCCATGAAGCACACTTACCATACAGGATAAGTGCAGCCTATATTATATCTTAATATATAGCAGCTGTCCTGTTCAATCCATCGGAGATCTTTCTTGCTTCTGTTCTAGAATAATAGTTAGTGTTAGTAATAACAGAAAGTAATGGTGCTGGCAGAAGAGACATTGGAGTCCCCTTGCAGAAGTGGAAGTCTTTCTGGGCTGCGTGAATGGTACTGGGCTGTGAAGCGTGCTTGGATTCCTGGTGAAAGGCGTTCTTTGAGTACGAGTGCTGTTAAATAAGCTTTACATCTCATCTGTTTAGGGACCCTGTGGATCAAACCGTATTCCATGGATCAGGCCAAGACAGCAACCCAGCTTCGCAGCTGAACTGTTGAACTTCAATTGTGTGATGATGCCTGGACGTTAGTCCTTTTCCAGGGGCGCTGTAGTGCCAGTGGCAAGCTAGACCTTGCTTTAGGTCACTCACAGAAAGCAGGATTAGCTGATGCTCTCTCTCTTACTATATCTCTAGCACCAGCAACTAAATTGCAGTGGCTTTGCACAGGAGGTAACCATGTGCTCTCCTAAATGCATTCAAATCTCACTAGTGATTTAGCTCTTTGAGCCCAAGTTTACAGCTGCAACCAGTTAAAAAAAATTACTGAGTGTTCTGAAAGAAAGTACCTTTTTGCCAGTTCTCTAATTCATGGTGATCACAGTGTAACTTCAAATTCTTTCAAAATGTGTGTATCAGAAAACTGATACTTGCTCTTCAATAAAATCTGTGTTCACTGACAAATACAAATAGTTGAAAACTTACAGTTTTTGCTAGTTGTCTAAAGTGTATGCAGGTTGCATTCTGTGGCTGGGAAAGGTTGACTTCACATAAAAGAGTATATGCCATCTCTCCTGTAACTTGTTATCTTGTTACCTACTCTTGTTCCAGGAACATCTTGTGAAAGTTTACTTCTGTCTCTTTTTGTAAGGCAGTTCTTGTCAGCACCTGATTATTTTTTCTTTTTTGATGATAAAGTAATGTATATTAGAAAGATTTGTTCATTTTGGTTTTTATTATGCCTTCTTTCCATCCTGTGAAGATGAGCAACCATATAGAAGTCTACCTGGTCAGAACAGTGCACCACTTCTTTTGTGCCCCCTGGATCATCAGGCAGCAAATGTACCTTCAAGGGATGAGATGATCCTTTATTTCAGATGGCTGCACGGCTTGAGACAGTGATGCAATGTCTTGCAGAGGGGTTGGACTAGAGGACTGATGGCTGCACTGTGAAAGCTGAGCCTGCAGTGTCATTGGCATGCAGAGCAAATAGCTGATTGTATTTCCTAGATACTGTGTGCCTATATTCTGGAAAGACTTGACATCCGCAGAACTTACTGTTGTACCTTGCTGTTATTTTTTCAGGGCTTGCATGGCTTTTTATTTATTTTTAAGTTCCTTTCTAAACTGAGAGCAAAGGAAGTTGCTTATCAGGTTAGATAAAGACAAAACTGTAATTCACAGAAAGCTGAAAGTTGAAGAAAATGAGGATTGCTCACTTCTGGATCTGGCAGCTGTTGGTTTATCAGATCTAAGTACTGTGAAGAAAATTTGTATGGTGATACAAATCTGCTCGATAAACAAGTTTAATGTGGTTGTGTGAACACAACTGAGAATGAAAGCTGATCTACTTTGTATAGCGTAGGTGGTAACAGCTTAATTTTTAACTTAGTTTCTGGTCAGTGGCTTTCTATTACCTCAGTCTGGGTAAATTTGGTATTGAATATTTGACCTTTGTGTTGCTTGATCCAAGTTAGTTAGTAGGCAGAAAGGACTTGAGCGCTGGAGTCGTCTGTGGAAGCTAATTAAAGAAAACCGCACAGTGTACTGCATCATCCTAGGAAAAACGCACTCCATTGTTAGGTGCGCACAAACATCAGTCATTACCCAAGATCATGTGAGATCCACGCAGTAGTCAAAGAAGTCACATCCGGTTTTGCCAGCATGCTGCTGTTGTCCTTCCCTTGCATGCACATTTTCATTGCTTTTCTTTTAAAATAAAATACTTGTGCTCAGCAACCTGCACGTATGTTACAGGCCTACTTTCCTTAGTACCTAAAGCTTTCAGCCTGCTTTCATATACAGTACTATCTTATGTTATTTTGAAGTTAAGGATGCTCATTTTGCATTGACTGTATAATTGTAGGCAACATTTGAATTTAAGTGATTGAGCAGTGAAATTATCAATTTCAAAATAGTGAATGGACATTTGTAAAGTTCTTAGTAGTGCTGTGCTTTATAGTTTAAGTTCCAATGTAAGATTCTAAGTCACTAGAAGGAATGATGATACTCTATTACAACAAAAAAAGGATGTAAAAGTGTTACTACCTTTTGAGTTCATACTCTTTAGTTTTCCTTTTTTGGAGGAAACTTCTGCTGTTTTCTTCTTTCCTCTTTTGATGCGTAGACATTTATACTGAGATCCTTCTATAGATGGCTTTTGAAATACACGCTTGATATCTTTGGGTAAGTAACCTGACCTTTTTTAAACCAACATATGTTTAAGAGGTATGTTGCTATAGTTGACTTGTTAACTGCTAACATTAGCCTGAACCTGTTCTTGAAAAAACAGGCCTTACTTAAAGAACAAAAGAGACACATCTGAAGCCAATATATTACATTAACAGCGAGACGGTTTCAATGCTTCCCCAGTCCACATGCAGTACATTCGGACTCTTCTGAGGAAAGTACGCTGTTACAGATTATGGGAGCGTGGAGGTAGGTAGGTAAAGAGAGCTGTCAGCCTATTGATGCAGGGCTTTACGAAGAACCAGTAAGACCTGCCAGTAATCATACAATATGCCTCCTAGGAAACGGAGTGTTGCTTGTTGTGTGGTTTCTGAGGATTTGCCTGTCTGCGCTGATGAAAACGAGAACCAGAGAAGCTGCATTTGGGGGAAAATAAAATAAGATGACCTGAGCTGTGTGCTTTAACTTATCTAACCTGTTTGGAGGCTGGCTTTGCTTTTAAGCAGCCAAGGTATTCCTAATCCTTGTTTTCCTAAAGAGTAGCATTCATTCTGACTCCCTAAGGTTAAAAACATCTTTCTCTTAATAGCTAATGTCAAAGGCAAAAGTGAAATTGCGTGACACATGAGTTGTAGATTTGAATGGAGCTGTGCTAATAGCCTGTTTCTGATGCCTTGTGACCTTAGCTTTCTGTTCTGTTAGCCCAGAGAAAGAATGGACTGTTTAAAGATGCAGGCATTTTACTCGCAGCATGATTTTTTTAAGATTTGAATCAGAGAAGTCAAACACTGATGTGACAGTATTTATTCACAGACAGAAATAGAATAAAGTGAATACAATAGAAATAAGTAAATACAGTCAAAATTCAACAAACAAGGTGTGTGGTATGATACACTAATACAGTTCATTGCATCTGCTGTTTAAGAGGTTAGTGTCAGTGTATGTTACTGATAGACATCTATTCATCAACACTAAAGCTTTCATTTCTGTACTAAAAATATTTTGTACCAAATGGTGGTGTATTATGCAGAGTTCTGTGGAAGAATCCAGTCATTTAAGGCTCATAATGTAATCTATGCTTTATGCAGGATGGAAAGTTTTAAACTGAGAACAGTCACAAATCATTATGTTATTCCACTTTGGATCTGTGGTAGTAGCTCCGGAAATAAGTGAGAGAGTTCTTCTTAAAGGTCGCATTTTCAGGAGTATCTAAACTTAGCTGAGATGCAATGGGATGCAAGCAATAGAGGATCACACATACACTACTAAAATCCTACCTTATCAGCTTAAATTCAGTATTACTGCTCCTTATTCTGGCCCTACTTCTAGTTAAGTATTTTATATGTAACTCCGTTATTTTGTAAAGTGGTGGGTTTTGTACAAAGCAGAAAAAAATCAGGTATTTTAGACTTAAAATAAGAACCTTTCTTTCTCTTTAAATTCAAAACTATTGTTGCCTGTCAAAATAGTCATTCAGTTGGGCTCAGTGAAGATGCTTTTATGAATTGTAAGTAAACTTTAACAACATTGTTGAATTTAACAATGACCTTTATTTGTTTAACAAAAGTTTTGAATGTGTCAGTAATGTGTTAGTGAAATTATAATGTCTGTCAGGAACTGTAATTTTAATGAGTTTTACAGAAGAAAAAAAAAGCAGTGTTTTTAATTTGCCCTACAGAAGTTTGCCTTCCAAAATGCACATCTCTCCAGCGTTCATTATTGAATTTTTTTTTTACGTAAACTTCTTTTATGCAGAGGTTTTCACATTCTAAACTTACCTTCCTGCTCCGGGAGCATCATCTGCTGCTCTTCCATTTGACCTATGTATGTATTCTGTCAACAGTCAGCACTTCTACTGTGAACTCAGTGTGTTCGTTTAGAAAATGTCCCTCTCTTCTACAGATGTTTCTCTCAAACATAGCTTGTTTATTCTTACGATTTTGGCATTGATGGCTGCTGGGAGAAGTTAATATATTCTCCTAGCAACTCCAGAAATGTCTTCAAACTCCTGGAGAGTGGGAGTGAGAAGGGGTGCTCTTTCTGCAATGCATGTTCTGCAGGAAGTGTGTGGAGAAGGCCGTCAGGCTCTCTGTACTCAGAGCTTGTTCTTTGTAAGCCACAGTTTCAACCCTTCTCCTTTTGGCAACCTTTTCTCACTCAAGTCACTCAGCTGGTCTTCCTCGCCTCTCTAGGAGTTAAGCAAACCCTCTAGACTAGAAGATTCTTGTTTAGCCTTCTGCAGGAAGAAAGCAAAAATGGTATCCCTGCCCACTGCCCTCTCCCAGCACAAGGAGCAGGAAGTATTCTTATCCCTAAACCTGCTGTACTTCCTGAAACCTTGGAAAACAAAATAAAAAACTTCACATCCGTCAGTTAGGGGAAGGGTTCTGGGAGGGGACAGGTTTCTCTCTGTATAGTGCTGGTTGTTTGCATCAGTTCTGTCTATAGCGCATCAGTTCTTTGTCTCCAGCAGGGCGAAAATAAAGCAGCTCAGAAAACCATAGATTGTTTGGAGCTCTCAGGAGCAGCAGTGGCATATCAGAATGCTTCATACAAATACAAGCAAAATCCTTGTGACTGCTTTTGAATTACATCAGTGATTACAATGTTTCGAGGTGAATTTAAAATCCAGATACTAGAAACGTGGAGAATTCTGTGTGCAACTTTCTAAAACCAGTATGCTCTCTGACTTGCTCTTTGTAATAAATGCAACTTTCCTCTTTCCATTTCAGCATGGACTGTTGTTAAAATTGCTGCTTAGAGTGCATAAAAAATCAGTGATACTGACCTGATTCTAACTGGAGGTACATCTGTCTTTCTGTTTTAATGTCTTATCTCTACCCTTTCACATCTAGACCGTGAAGAGGATGCATCTCCTTCTCAGCCAGCATTTTATAGAGCAGTTACTGTGTTTGTGTGCCTAGTAAATGCTAGAAGGCAAGGCTTACCTTTCTAGGGTGTTGGTTAGGGAGTGATGGCTCTTTGAAAAGTTCCTGGAAATAACAGTCACTCTTTTACTGTAACAAAACTCCTGAGGGCATTGTGCAATATTAGAAATGAGTAATTCAGTTAGTAATTCAGTTATAAAACTACCTGCTGACGGGATTTGTGAATAGATTTATTCTTTTCAACTTCATTATTGTCGTCTTTACTGCACAACTACAGCAAATGACTATGTTCAGTAACAGATTATTCTGGTTTACCCAGATAAAATCAGCGTGTGTTCTTGGAAGTGAATTCTGAAGGAATTCTGGGGTCAATCTTTGCTTCTTGTTAGAAGCCTTGTCTACTGATGTTAAGATTGTGGACTGAGTATTTTAAGTTTCAGTGAAGAGTTCTGTGTGTGTATTAAATTGTAAATCTGAAATATTAGCCTTCATGGCTAATCCTTGACAAATATCACTGATGTCAGGTACTTTTTTCAGTATTCTCTAGCTGGTAAGGAGCATGTTTTTTCCACTAGACTGTTTTCAGCGGGTCAGCATCAACTTTCCTACTTTCCTCTGCCACTAATTTTGAAGCATGGTCTTTGACAGTGTTTGCAGCAGTAGTGCGTTCTTTGCCTCTCCTAGTCTAGGTTTCTGACTGATCCTGGTCATGGGGTTGATGTGGATAGTGGCAAGATGTGAGCAGTCTGAGCTGATGTATTCCCTAACGAAACTTCTACTAGTACATAATTGAGTGCTAATGCTGTTATTTCTGAAAGGGATATCTGTGATACAGATAGAAGAAAATACTCCACTCAGCAGGAGGACGGAATAGGATTTCATGCAGGACGTTCTGGACGCTTGCTGATGAGCTGGACTGTATATAAAAAGCTAATTGCCATATTTTTCCTTCTTTCATCAGGAACTCTTAACTGCTAGCATTTTCACAAATACTCTGTATGTTTTCTTCTCGCTTTCTCCCCTCGTACCCTTCTTTTCAGATCTAAATGAGTGTGGACTAAAGCCCCGGCCATGCAAACACCGATGCATGAATACCTATGGCAGCTACAAGTGCTACTGTCTGAATGGCTACATGCTCATGCCAGATGGAACGTGCTCTAGTACGTCAAGGCTTGTTGCTTTCTTTTTTCAAACCTCCTCTCTGGTATCCCTGTGTTACTGCTCAGGGTTCCCTAGGAAACGTGTATGAAATGAAGATGAGTCCCAGAGTAAAAGTAAATTCTGCTGGAAATCAGGCAATTGCACAAAATGAGCTGCTTTGTTCTAACGAAATTAGGCTAAACAAAACAAGAGCAAATATTTTGATTTTATTAGTTTTATTGCTAGCTTCTCCAGAGACATTCTCCAGTGCTGTAAATCACTGTTAATTGGCCTTTGGGGACAAGGGTTTGCAGTTTTCACAGCAGCAAGACACCTGCAATTCTGCAGTACTATGTCTGTATAAATATAAAGTCGTGAAAGCTGCAGATGTTGGTTGTTTGACCGGTACAAAACTGTACTGTGATCTTTCTGGAGATCAGGTTCCTTCTCTCCCCCATAAAAGTGAGTATTTTGAGTGTCTGGACAGAGGGAAGGAGAAAGAAATGACCTTTATTAAAGGTGCTATTTTAAAATGGCAGTACTGCCCTGGAGGGTTTATAGCACGTGCTGGGATTTATTTTCCTTGTGAGGATTGCATTTCATAACACAACTTGCTACAATTGTATTTTTTTTTCTTATAAATGCAATTATTGGAAAGAAAAAATTTACTACGTGTGTACTTGCCATTCGAAGACCTGAATGGGCACCTATTAAAATCAACAAGCATTTTCCCACTGTTTTTTATCATAATTTAACTACGTCCTAGTTCTCCGAAGTTCTTTGTGATTTTCTGGTATGGATCAGAGTCCTCATCTAAGTATGTGCAATTATTTTTCCCTAGGTGCCCTTACTTGTTCAATGGCAAACTGTCAGTATGGCTGTGATGTACTGAAAGGGGAAGTACGCTGCCGCTGTCCTTCTCCAGGATTGCAGCTAGGGCCCGATGGGAGGACCTGCATAGGTAGGTGATAAGACCCAGACTTCTTTTTTCATTTTTTTCCCAAAATATTTTCATCCTTACGCTGAACACAGTTGAAGAGAGTTTATCGGATGTCTTTAGAATGCATCGTACATGCAGTATAAAAACTTTACTGGAACGCGGTTTGGGATGTTGCTCAGCTATTCTCAAATGGTGTAAGTCAGAGATCCCCAGTGTTTTCTTCCAGTTCTGCAAGTTTTGTTGACTATCTGCTTAAAGCCTGCTCAGGCTGCTTGCATCAAAGCTTTTGGCCCTTATCACTCCCTCCTGTTACTGAGTAGTTTTAAAGTATTGCTAATAGAGACTCTAAAATACTTGCCTGTATCAAAAAGGAATGGGGAGGGCAGCTTTCCCTCGTACACTTGCAAAGCAGAGTGGTGCCTTGGTTTCGGGGAATGCAGGGGTAATTTATACAAATTGGTGAGATTAGTTGGGGCAGGGTGAAGGTCTGTGCACGCGCATGCTCCTAATATTAATGGGATTTAGGCTCCTGTCTTTCTTAGCTACCTTTGAAAACTCTAAGTTAAAATAAACTCAGAAATTCAGACAGCATAAAAGTGAAATGTTTTATAACATAAAAGTGAAATGTCTTATTCTCACCTTCTTGAATGTGGTGAAGGAGCTCATGGTTAATCAGACTGTATTGTGCCACACATTACTATGGTGTGAAAATCAGCATGACATGTGATTTCATTAGTCATTAACTATACATCCTGAGTGGATACAATGCTCTAGTGATTTTATTATTGATACCCTGTGCAGAGCTACAGGTCCTATAACCTGTTGTTGTTGTGCATGCTTGCACTGAAAGAGTTTAAGAGAATGTGGATGACCCTAATTGTGCTTCTGGGTATCACAGCTGTCCAGGGGAGGCAATTGCTTCTTGAAGTGACTTATCCACACTGACCAAGACCTCTGTGGCAGAGCAAGGGACAGAAGCTAGAACTCCTGGTGTAAGGAGCAGGCACTTAGCTGGAGGCTTTCTCAAGTGTAGGACTGGCATGTGTATGCATGCAAAAGAACGGGTTCCGCAGTAGAAAAAATAACGATTGTCAGATGCTGAAGGGGTTGAATTATGATTAATCATGCTGTAAACATGGCAGGTAGAGGTTTTTGGAAGAGACTTGTAGCATTGTGAGCTGAGTGATTTTTGGTACAAATTCAAGGAAGTTGTACCAAAATCAGGAAGTTACTAGAAAAATACTCACAAGATTCTCCTAGTGTGCATTTTAATAGAAAGCTCGAGCAAACTTCGTACCTCTTTTGAAATAAACAAAGTGGACATTTAATGTTGTTTTTAAATAATCAGAAGACTAGCACTCAAACCTGTTATATGACGCTTGTTCAGTTTAGTGTAGTTTTCAAAAAAAAACCTCATTTTATTCATGAAAGGTAAGAACTGTGTGCAAGTGTGTGTACCCACATTTCAGTGGGCATGCACCATTCAGATCTATTTCATAACTTGTTTTTTAAATTTTCCCCCAAAATTTCAAGAGCAGCCTTGCACAATGTAGAGAAAGTAGTCACAGCAAGAGATATTTATCCTTCATGGGTCATAATATGTTCCACTCATTTTTTGGTAAGACGCGATTGTGACATGCAGTCTTCTTGTGTTATTTCCTACACAGTGCATCAGAGTTTCTCAGTGAAGTTAGAGCTGTGCTAAAACTAGTAAATACCTTCAAGATTTGAAGTTATTTGGGGCTAGGGCTATGTCTTTTGCTCACATGTGTACAGCCCCATCGTTGCTGGGGCACATGTCAGCTCCAGGGAGCCTTCAAGTGTTGCTGCAGCACAAGCAAAAGTGTAAATGGGGGTGAGAAAATTGAAATGTGCATGGGCTGTAGCTCGTGAAATCGTAGTTTGAGGAGAGTTTGAAAGAGCTGGGAATGTTTAAAATGTTTTTAAAATGTTTCCTCCAGCCAGTCAGTAAAGAAGATCCAAACAATTCAGCTACGAAGGTAAATCACATAAACTAAGTAACAAAGAATCAAAATGGAATTCAGCAAAGTATTCAGTAAAAATCAGGATTATAAATGACTCTAGAATCAAAAAGTAACTGGTGAAGCAGTATTGCCAACTTTTTTGATTGGATTTTTCATTTTATGAAATCAGTAATTTACACGTTTCTTCAGCTTTAGAATGTCTTAAATTATTTGAGAACTGAAAATAATTATTTTTACTGCAAAATAAAGTATTTTTTGCTAGTTTCGATTGTGGAGAGAAACGTGAAAAGATGGTCTTGGAAGCTTAAAAATCAAACTCTTTTTAAATCAATCTCATCGTTATTTAGTACTTGATTGGTAATACAGCCTTATTCACACAAGGAGAGAAGCAACTATTTGCAATTCTGCTTCCTTATTGAAGATGGACTATCACAGTCGCTTAGGTGCGGTCTGTTTTTTTTGCGTTTGGAGCGTTTCCTCATGCTCAATCTGCGTTGTCTACCTCCGTTCCAGACCAGGCTGCGATGGGAATGCAAATGACCCCTTTATGCCCTGGTTTTCATAGGAAGCAGGGGTAAGCCACAGTGTGTTGCAACAGGCAAAAGGGCCCAGGTGTAAATTGGCATGGGCCCATGGGCTTGAAAGAAGCCACGCTCACTATACTGTCTGAGAACCCTAGCCAACTAAGCGTCAAGTACTTGCATACCATGTTCTAGCTAATGGTCAAAAAGCAATTTTCCACTAGCAAAGAGTATCTACTTCTCACCTTAAAGGTATGTAGTAGATTTTACAACACGTTTCCATTACTTTTATGTAAGTTTTCAACATGGTATTGATCAGCAGTTCAGTCCTATATATTTAGGATGTATAACTGCACAGACAAATAAATGATGCCACTATAATTCTCTGGTTACTGAACGTACCTCTTCTCTTAAGTGGGTCTGCAATATCATGAGCATGTACAGAAGGAAAGGCAGAACAAACTATATCAGGCTTTAAAGAAAACACTCCATGCCAAGAGAAAATATATTCTGTAGCTGATTTTTTTTCCTACTGAATTGCTTTTTGAAGTTAGGATTTAAAAAAAACTCCTAGTAATCAATAGGCTGTGTTGAAATACTATTTTGATAAAAGGGAGAAAATTGTGGCTTGTTAATGAAATGATGTTACAGAACATAGCAGCATTTGTAAAAATGTTAATAATGTATTCAAACCAAGAGGCAGATTTATAGGAAGATTTAGGTGTGTAGGGATGTGGAGCTGTGCCCAGTTCTGGCCTCTTGTTCTTTCTTATTCAGGCCTTTACTGAGACATAGCAGAAGTGCTCCAATCTCAGAGTAAAGGAGAACTGTTCACGTCAGAGAGGAGTCGGATGGGCCGGGTGTGTGGGAGGTCAGGTTTGAATCCTTGCTCTCCTCCCTAATTCTTTATGCAGAGTGGGACAGTGCCAGCAGGAGCTACTGGGAGAATGTAGCTAGCTAGTAACTCATGACTCTAGGCTACTTCTTTTGGCTGTGGGAAACAGCTTGGAGAATTTGAAGTTACATCTCCCATCTGGGGTAGCTGCCGTAACTAACTAGCAGTTTTGTTTCTTTTAGTTCCCTGCTTGAATTGTTCTTTAGTAGTCAAGAGTATTTGATTCTGACAGAGCAACTGTCTGCCAGCGGTAGCGTTTCCTCCGTGCTTTGTGAGAGACTCGTATTCTGAACCTCTCTCTGCCTTAGTGTGGCCTCTTTCACAAGCAGCAGGGCATCAATCACTTGGCTTTGTTTTGCCCTCTTGACACCTGCAGCTGAAGTGCTCCTTTTTGGAAAAAGAATTGCTTGGAGAGCAAAATCATGCTTTCCCATAGATCAAGAGCTTGATAGAGCTGCAGAGCAAAGGCTTGAACTGTGCCCTGTAGATAACCAACACACGTCAGAAGCCCCGTGGGTCTCTACCTCAGTGAAGAATTAGGGTTCAAGTACTTAGCAGGCTTCAGCTCAGTTTCCAAGGGCCTCGAAGTGAGTAGTAGTGCAAGCGGCTTTTGTTTATCTGCCTGATCTCTTGCTGAGAGTTGTTCCAGGCAGCAAAAGCAGCACTGGGTTAGTATAGGCTACTCTCAGGGCCTCTGCCTGGCTTACTCAGCATGGTGAACAGCAACTTGAGCGAGAGGAAAGGTAGCCGACACTGATCAGGCGTCACTCATGTCTGCCTAATCCTCAGTCCCTGCCTGGAAATACAGGTCGCAGCCCTGCTGCAGGTCCTGCTGTGAGCACGCGGGAGCCACGTATCTCAGTGCCTGAGATATTTTGAGGTCACTTAGGTAACCATCCCCTCTTGAAAGGAGGGGTCAGCTGCAACACATGCCCTGCACGGTAAGAACTTGCAAAGGGGCGTTTACTCAAAAAGTGTTCGGCCTGTGGTAGCTAACTGGTAGGAGTCCCAGAAATACTACCGCCCTCCAGCATTAGCTTGGACTTTTCTTGTTCAAAGTGAGTCTTGAATGGATGAAAATTTCTGATAGGGTCGATGGGTGGTCCTTGGATTAGGGACACCTGAGATTTTAAAAGAATAAACCACTTTCTACTGGGGGGTGATGTACTTTGAATATGTGCATATGACCAGTGCTACAGGAACAATATTTCAGATAACTTTCAGAGTATTTTAAAAAGAATTACTGGAGTATTTTTTGTAATTCCTTGACCGTAAATTGAGATGCTATCTTTGTAACCATGCAGGGCTCATTGGGAGAAAAGGAAGTTACACAAATGTCATGAATGAGTGTTTCTTTAGACAAAAGATGTTACAGTTTTAAGGATGAGTATTTTGAGGAATACCCTTAAAGAAACTGCTGTTTTCTGTATTTTCTATATCTTCTCCCAGGGGAAGGGTCCCATAAGTAGCAAGACCGTGGAACAAACACTCAGAAGCCAGTGTTTGATACTCATTACATCCCATTACATCCGTGCATCTCTTGTCACTCACAGTTAATGGTCACTCACAGTATTTGTTTTTGGCACAGGAGACGCACAGATTTGGGCATGTGACTAAGAGTTGAACTTGAGGAGCCACAGCCTGGGTGTTATTGCTGGCTGACCAGCCTGCAGCCAAAAAGAGCTGTTCAAAAATACTTTGGCTGTTCTTCTTCAGTTTTTTGTTATGTGAAGTCAGTTCAATATAGATAGTATTTTAACTGTTAAAAAGAATAATTCTGTTCCTTTCTTTTCACAGACATTGATGAATGTGCTACTGGGAGAGTTATCTGTCCCCGATTTAGGCACTGCATCAATACTTTCGGAAGCTACATTTGCAGATGTCATAAAGGCTTTGACCTTATGTATAGTGGAGGCAAATACCAATGCCATGGTAATGACAACAGCAAATTTCTTGTATACGTGCAGTACAGCTGCATATTCTAAACTAGAATTAATGGTTTAAAGAAGAATGTTCACTTATTATGGCTGAAACATTCAAGCAGGTTGTTTTAGGTTGCTCTGCATCGATATTTTAGGAAAGGATGGATGACAGAAATAGCTGAAAGCGTGTATTTGCCTCCCCCCCCTCCCCCTTTCTGGTAACTGGTTCTCCCTAGGAAGCTAGTGGGAGAGCAGAGCTGGTGACCCCAGGAAGTTCTTTCCAAAACCTCTGTCCCCACAGGTTTCACTCGGCATAGGCAGGTTTAGGTTTGGCACAGTGTATTAGTGTAAATTATGTGTGTGCTCTTATGCAAGCATGCTTGACAGCACGCCTCAAGCTCCAAGAGGATAAAATGTGGCTAGAGTACACCCCAGCTTCTTCCATCCCAGGTCGTGCAACTTTTCTTCCCCTGAAAACGGGTGAGGAAAGGAGGAAGGCTGGGAAATAACCCAAGTCTTTGTTTGGACGTGAGGCTGGAATGCAGCCGATGTATGCCCTTTGGCAGAGAAAAAGATGTTCCCAGGTCCCGCCGTCTTAAGTTTCTCAGTACGTCAACGGGCTATGCTCCCTTCACCGAAAAAAGGATCATGTGAAATAATGACACTGCCTTGTTTGTTTAAGTGCATTTTGGAGAGAAATCCCTCTGCAGAGCACTGCAATTTTGGAGATTTTGCTTGCATCACTAGCTACATGGAAGTGCCATAGAAGATGTTTCGGGCAGATTCTACCCAAGTATAATGACAAAGAGGAAACATTTTAAGAACAAACAATTTAATGCTTGGCTGCAATAGGAATATGCACATTCCTAAACTCATTTTTTTTTCTTACCAAGTCATCGTCAAGAAGTAGTTGCTGAAATTATAATCTTAATAATTTCAGCTGTAATCTACCCACAGCAAATCACCAAAGCTGATGCTAAGCTATAAGCCAAGCAATGTAAGAATTACACAACAGTCCCTTTTACCCTGAATCACCACATTAATTTATGATTGCCTGTCTTCCTTTTTCTACTGGCAGTTCAATTTTATGGAGTATTTTGAAATTCATCTTCTTTTTCCTAGTGATCATATCTACTGTTTGTGTTTTTTGTAGGGATAAGGGGAAAGGCAGGTTTCTCTTCGATGTAAATGATGCTTATATAACTTTTTGTTGCAGATATAGATGAATGTTCCCTTGGCCAGCATCAGTGTGGTACTTTTTCGCGTTGTTACAATACCCAAGGATCCTACAAATGCAAATGTAAAGAAGGGTACAGAGACAATGGAACAAACTGCATACGTATGTAACACTCCTTTTAAGAAAAGAATTCTGAAACTAAATGTGGTTGTGAATCTTGTGTTGTAAATACTGAGATGTAGCAACGTCAGGCTCAGTTTCTCTTAACTATTTTTAATAGATAATTAAGAGCCAGAGAATGTATTCAGAGTTTTCTGAGTCTTAGCATGCCTTAACAAAAATATCTTTCCCGGAGATGTTTTCATAATTAGAAAGAGACTTACCAAACCCTATTCACAGCCTCATTCTAGAGGTTGCTTCGGAATGAGAACAAATGAGTAAGCAGGGCAGGGTCTGGTCAAAGAGTACATATTACTTGTACCCTGCTGATTAAGTGCACCCTGCAACTGGCAGTTTCAGTATTTCGCCGTGCTCCCCGCACTGCTCCCCAGTTGTGAGCAGAGCTGAGAGGAGGGATCTGTGGAAGTTAGAGAGTTCTTCATCTCATTCTTGGATGAAGCAGTTGTCCCCCTTGGTACAGGGTACAGACTGCTGGATCTCCCCAAAGTTTGATACCCCTCAGGACCCACACTGCTCTCAGATGATCTATGGGATCTTTTTGAGGACCCTGGGTTTATACATAGGTTCTGGTCCTTGGTGACTCACTGATCTCCTTAAAGAGCACTGCCATTGTGGACTTTTGGTGGGCTGTCAGGGGAATATGATCTAGCTAAGGTGATCTTTCAAAACCTAAATGCTTGCAATTATATGTTGACACGCTGCTTGTGTGTTGTTAGGCATAGCATTTTATATTTTAATATACCGTAATGTAAAAACTGCATGCTCTTTAAGAGAATAGTAATAAACAGATGGCCAGAGAGAAAAGCTTTTTCCCTGCTACCACCAAACAATTCACTGTTTACCATGCAGTAGTTCTTCATTTTAACTGTGTTATGCTTGTAACACTTGTACACAAACCATGTGGCTAGAGTTCTTACTGGGGCTTTTAAGATCTCCAGTGAGATATAAAGGTTTATTAACAAATAGTAAATTGTAAATAACAAAACAGATGTTCTTGCATTTCGTGTCTGCGTTTCCTTTGTGAAACCAAGTTAAAATATATCATCCTTTCTTTACGGACTATTGGGGGAGGTGGTAGCGTAGGCAATTCAGATTGTGTCAATGTAATTTAGGTGGTATTCAGTTCACCTTCTCCTTTTTGGGAAGACTGAAAATGATATTTACTTTTTTTCCTGGTATTTAGCAAAGATCTAGATCTAAATGAGAGCTAGTTGGCTTAGGTTCAATCTCTGTAAATGCTTATGGACAAGGAGAAGTGTTTAGAAGAAATGGAGAGGTCTGAAATACGCCTTTTTAAAAAGCCAACGGCATCTGCCTATCCATGAAGAAAAGAGTTAAAACACTGGAGTCTTACTAAACTCACCTATGTTCCTGAGTGTGAACCTGTCCAATTTCAGAGCTCACCTTAAGAAATATCTTCCTGACCTTGGTTTTTTTTTTTTTTTTTTTTTTCTTTTGGGAAAGTTTTGCCAACCATGAAGGTGAATTGGTGCTTGAGAGGAGGCAGACCTGGAAGGTGCTATGTGCCTTTGGTCATTCTAAATTGCCTCTAAAATACTGTAATGAGAGGTACTGTCTGAAGGGATGTGATAATTCAGCAGTGTTGATACTGAAGTATGTTTCTAATCAGTGGAAACGTTCAGAAAAAGAGAAACAATTTCATCAAATTCTCTCCATGTACTAATGAAATATATTGTTAAGTGTCTGGAGCCAAAGACTCAGGCATCTGTTTTGCCTCCCATTTTGATTCTCTTTGCAGTTATTCCTAATGTTATGATTGAACCACCTGGTCCCTATCATATATTCAAGGGCAACAGCACACTTCCTAAGGGAGGCAGTGGTATAACCATTAGGATTCTTGATGTTGGAGGCACAAGGCAACCCCTCAGACCACCATATGTACCTGCTATTGTTACAGAAAGGCCGGTGGCCAGGCCAACAACTCGACCTACACCCAGGCCAACAACTCGACCTACACCCAGGCCAACAACTCGACCTACACCCAGGCCAACCACCAGGTATGTGCCCATAACAACAAGACCAGTAACAAAGCCAGTGACGAGGCCTCCACGTCCAACACAACCTCAGCTTACAACGTTAAGGCCTACGCTACCACCACAAAGAACTCCTGTGATGACAACCGGAGATCCTTCCCATGTTCCTGTTGAAACTACATCTTCGCAGGAAACTACAGTTGACAACAGGATCCAGGTAGATCCTCAGAAACCCCGAGGAGATGTGTTCAGTAAGTAAATTTACATATTCTTTCGTTTATCAGAATTGCAAATTCAGTGAGGTGAAAGCATGCACTGCACTGTTCTGTTTTTTCGAGCAGTCTATAAATGAGAACAAAGATGTGAAATTGAGAGTGGTCATACGGTAAAGCTGTACACCTGATTGATTTTGTGGCCTAACAAAAATGTGGGGAAGAAGTTTTGGATCAATTCAAGCAAAAAAGAATTCAGTTATTCTTCCTGAAATTATTTGTGAGTGTATCATCCTGCATAAGATCTTAACTTAATTACACTTCCAAACAAAAGTCTGAAGGGAGAAAGTAAAGGCGTTTTATTGAAAAATACTGAAATTGCAGCATTGTGACTTTTTGGAAAAAAACAACTTTTTTCAAACAGAACTAATCAGTAAACTCATAAAGAATTAATGGATTCAAAAATCAAAGTGTTGAGAGTCACTGCTCCACAGCACATTGCCTTAGCTTTAAGAATGAAAAGAGATGGAACCGTGTCTGAATTGCTGAAGACTCCATTATGTTATATATGTTGTATGTATCCAAACAATCCTTTAATATTTACAACTAAGCAACTGCAAAATTGCATCAAAATATCATGGAGGCTTATTTTATGGAACGTGTCTATGAAAATGGGTATGCGAAAAGCTCATGATCCTGAAGATGCTCGATAGCATGAAGATGTCATTTTAAGAGCTGCTTTGAAAGATACAGCACCATTTCGCTGCCAGCTTTAGTGCATACCACAGATGACATTGCGGGCACATGCAGACTTATACATGTGTGCCAAGAAATACTCAACACCCAAATTTATCTTTAGTTCTGCAGTTAATTTTAGAGTTTGGAAGGGTATGTTGGATCAGCCCATTTCCTTCAGCTTGATGTACTATTATAAAGCTGCTGAAGCAACGCAGGAGAAAGTCTGCTGCCTCAGAGCAGGTGGACAAGCAATGTGGGTGTTTTTTTCCGGTTGTTTTGGCGTCTATATGGTAACTTCTTGGGAGGATTTTTCTTAGATGATTACACAGTGAAATATTTTGTTCTTTTTATAAAATATTAACGGGGAAACAAACCTTTTATGTGCTGTAGACGATTTATTCTGGAGACAACAAATGACATAGAATTCAGAAAGGTAATTCCTGCCACTATGCAAAGGGATGTTCTTACTGACTTTTTCAAGGTTATTTTTTAACTGATCCATATAATACATTTGGTTACTAAAACACAAAAATATTTTAATGTAAAGTTCTGAAAAGAAATTTAGTAAAGCCTTTCAAAACTAAATATGATGGGAAACAATAATTAAAAAATAGCGTTCTGTGGAAATTATTCTAGAATGTGTAGATCTACTTTCAAGGTTGTTTTGGTTCGTCGGTGTTCTGCAGAATTCTGTGTCACAGAGTTAATGCTCAGCTATTTTCATGAGGTAATTAATCATCTGTGTAAAGTTTATTATTTTCAGTTAAGTCTTCCTGAATTCTCACTAAAGCCTATCTTTTTTGAACCAAATGCCTTCAATATGAACACTTGAGATATGCAGGTTGGGAAAACAGGAAAGTAAAAGTGGTTTTTGTTTTCTGGTAGTGAGCTTACCTTATTGTATGTACAACAAACACAGAGAAAATTATCTTTACAAAGTGTTTATAAACTTTTTATTAGGTCCTCTACTGTCCTTAGAGGTTTGTGGTAATACACACGTAGCTTCTAAGACTTCCATGCACAATAAAGTGTTCCAAGAGGTGTCAAGCACCAGCGACTGTCGTTGGCTTCTGTAAACAATACCAGGGATATATAGCTCCTCAGGTCAGTTGACAGATACGTGCCTTTAGACATTGCCTCTTCCTTTATCCCCTGTTAAAGATGTACTTGATACATGTAAATGTATAACATAGCTGTGGGACCAAAAGCAAATACTCTACTTTGCTCTAGAAGATAGGAAATTGTGTGGTGCAAGTAATGTGACTCTTAACAAAGCTGGTATCTTTTTTTTTTTTTTTTTTCATTACGGTTATTTTGAAAGTATCAGCTAGGTGGTGGTCACTGGTCCTCCTCCCAGCTTAGTTTGTTAGGATTTGAAGCCTACAGTCAAGAGTGCAAACTAATAAAACAGTTTTATTCTAGAAGAATGGTTGCCTTGTGAAGGAAAATGTTGCTTGTGGAGGAGGGTGTTATTTGTTGACTGACATCCTGTTACCATAGGAGTCTGTGGGGAAGGGGAAAAGTTACAGTTCCTCATGGGGGACATTTAGAAGCTGGCAGAAGAGCTACAGCCACTTGCGTTGCGACAAAATGATGCGCAGGGCATGACTCAGCCTGTCCTAGCCTGCTCTCAGCGCCACGCTTGTAAGGGTAATACAGGGATACTCATATATACCCAGACACCATCACTGCAGGGGTTCAGCCACGTGTGTGAGCTGCTGCCAGGCGCCGAATTCCTGGGCATCAGCTGGGCTGCAGAACTGGCTGCTGCATGCTGTTAGTGGGGGCAGCGGGTGGGAGATAAAATGCGTTAGCTCGAACACCTTTCACAAAAGCTTACAAATGGCATTTGCTCAGTGTGCTAACCTTCCCTTTTGCACTGCTGTGCGCCCAAGCTCCTGCAGGGCAGCGTGCCACCTGCTGCCAGCCCCAGGGGAGAGCCGTGCCAGACGCCTGGGCAGCTGCTGCAGCTTGGCTGGGAGACCGACCTCAAGCAAACTTGCTCTGCATGAGGCACCGCAAGCTCAGCACAGCAGTGCTTCCATCTTGTTTTAGCCAGGGGCTCTTAAAATTATTCCTTGCGTTTTCCTGTCCCAGCCAAGCACGATGATAAGAATGAAAATGTTAAGACAATACAGAATTTTGAACTGAAATAATTAATAACATTCAGCTAACCTCTGAATTATTTTTCGCTTATTTTTCACTTGCTTCCATATTTCCTCAGGGGAAAGGACTTTTTCAACTACTTCCTTCAGTTTCTTTAAACTCTGTTGGTGTTTTAATCTTGCATCAACACATCTTTGCGGTGTTCATGGGTCATGGATTTGAGCTGATTTTGTTCAGCTTATACTGAGCTTCTTTAGGTTCCTTTCCGCACATCTGCTTCTGCAGCTGAGGCAGCAGTAAACTGGCTCTCAGAAAGGAATTTGCACAGTGGTCCATGTGCCTCCCTGAAAAGAGAAGAAAAAGCTTTGCTCTTGGCTTCTTTACTCATTTCCCACGAGATAAGGCAGGCAGCAATTCAGTCACCTCGTAACCCTCATTGTTGTCTTAGAAAGTGATGGAGGGAATTAAATGTTAGGATCCACTCAGAGCATGAGGTAGGACCAATGTGAGTTTTGTCAAACGTTCAGCAGAGTTGCGGTGTTCTTTTCAGATGGCTGCTTCGTCACGTGTGACCGTGGCCTATAGTATCCCAAAGAGGCATGGGGTAGTGGTTTAGCACGTACCAGTGGGCAAAGCCAGCACAGAGCGTGCTGTATCAACCACTACTGGTTTCAATCTTCCAGCTCTTTCCCCTGATGAAGACCTCGGTATTTAAAGTGGTGGTTTTAGACTGGGTTATCCTGTGGTGCATGGATTTTATTCATTTATTTATTGAGATCAGAAGCCTTAGCCAGGCTTTGACAAAACGCATGGCAGTAAATGCTGTTTGCCTTGCTGCCTGACCAGATGAACAGGTGATGCTTGCGTTGTGCAACCCATGGCTGTGGCAAAGGGTAGTTGGTGTACTCTGTGCGCTGATAGATGTCCTAGTGCACTAGACCAACTCCTGCAGACATAAGCATGGTGCGGGGTTGGCCTAGATCAGAAGAGCAAGAATATTTGTTTTCTGCAAGCACATCTCAGTTTTGTTGTTGTTGTTTAACGTTTTCCTGAGCTCGCTCTTTGTGACTTGTTGCTCCCTCTTTTCTCCCTTCCTTGTTATCAGCCGTACTGTCCCACATGCTGGGTAAAGGTCTCTTAAGCTTTCACTCCAGAGAACTCGCGAACGCGCCTGAAATTAGAACCAGTGAAATTGCAGTGGTCTCCTTAGGGATGAAATACCGCAAAGTACTCTGCTGATAACGTTATTTAAATACTATGGGAATTTTTGAAAGGTATTAGGTTGTTGTGGTTGCCTTAGATGCTTTACCCCTTTTCTTAAAATTACTGTAATAACTTTGAGAAGCTGTTTTTCAGGCAACAAAAAATGAGTATTTTTTAAAATGGAATTCCTACCCTTGGCCTTTGAACCACTTAGTCAGATGCAGACAGTGGAATCTGGCACCAAGGATAATCTTCTCCTGATATGGATATAGGGGGAATGGCAGTGGAGGAATGCAGCAGTGGCTTAATATTTAACTCTTTCGGGACTGATACAAACTGCAGTGAACTGCAGGGGAGTCTTTTTTTGCTTACTAAGATGGATAAGGCCTCTTAACAGATAGAATGTTCTCCTCTATAGGACCATGACTTTCTGCCACCATCAGGATCTGGGTTACAAGCATTAAATGCATGGGCTTAAAGACAAAGTATGGGCAATTTCAGCAGTTTTCCTTCTTATGAAGGAAACCTAATGGGGCTGCAGAGATTGGAACTGGGAGACTTTCCTCATATCAGCTGTTAATAAAATTTAAGGATAGGATTAAAACTTGATCCTTTTTGCTCCACCTTTCAGTGATCGAAAAGTCCTTAGTGCAGCAAATGCAGTTATGTGAACCTTGAAACTGTTGAAATAATGGAAGTACCAGAAGCAAAGAATATAGTTTGTTACTTTTTCGTGTTATAGTAATAGCATTGTTTTTCAATAGCATTTAATTTGTCCTCATTGTTCTCATACCTATTAAGATAAATTTGTCGTAATGTTTAAGCATTTAAGACAGGCATTTTGTTCCTTTTTTGTCTTCTGGAGCTAAATCATCTGGGACTCTTACAAGTAAATCACACCGTCCCATCAATATTCCAGCTAGTTTTATTCTAAGATCTGATTTTAAGCTTCTGTAGACTACTTATTTTAGCTGTATTTCACAGAAATTTAAATGTCACTCTCCTCCTCCTGAATAGCCGCTCACAGAAAGGTGGGCATGTTACTTTTTAAAAAATGTCCTGAAAATATATGTAAAGAAAGGTTAGATTTAGGTCTAAGTTAATGAGCCTTATAACTACCTGAAAAATGCAAAATTGGACTTTAGAGTGGTTACATGCTAGCACCATAACTTTCCCCCTCATGTGAAAGGTACCAAAGAGGGAGGGAAAGTCCATGAAAGCTGTTCCCCAAAGAATTTTCACTGCAGAATTAGAATCCACAGTTTTCGGCAGCATATGCTGGATACTGGCGGTACCCAGATGAAATGGTGACCGCTACCTCTCTGCTGCCCCTTCTTCTTAGTCCAGCATATATCAAAGTCTTGCCTGGGGAAAAGAGGAGGTAATCTTGTTCACTAAAGGACAGAGAATTTTGACCTCTGAACTACCCTTACTTTTACTACTAGTTCTGCATGAGATCTCATCACTTCTGGGGTTTTTTTTTTGAAGTGGAATTTAACAACTTTCAGTCATAAGTACTTTAACTTTTAACAGCTTTTCAATCAACTACTCAGTCAAAAAATCTTGTTTCCTCTTGCCTTTTTTTTTTTTCCCTTAGCAGAACCGGGATGCTCAGGCATGAGTATTTTGTGCAATGGAATTGCTTGAGAACACAATGTTGCTTGTAAGGCAGAACACACGCTACGTTATTAATAGTAGTAAGAATTATCAACAATGTGAAGCGGCGCTCCAACTTCATGTTTTGTTTTGGTTTTCTAACACCAAGACAGTGATTATTGTGTCATTATAAATAACTTGCCATATATAAATACCATCTCTTTTACTCCCAAACTCAGCCATTAACAAGTAAATGAAAAATGTCCTACTGCTTTCCCAAGGATTAACAGGCTGAAAAGACATCCATCTTAAACAATTATTAAATGTCCCTCTCTCCACGTATATGCATTTATAAAGAACTTGGCTAATGAACTTTGAGAATATTGTAGCATTCATGTATTGGCTCATCTGTAGCTCATACAATTCTCCAAGAAAAAGAAGCCAAGTTTATATATTACAAGCTTTATCAAACCATTGAAGTTAAATGAAAAGCACACTGATATGCTATATAAAATACACAGAAGGGGCTTGGGAAGCTTGCAGAAAATAATTGTGCCAAATGCTTTCTCCCACAATCTCCACTCAACATATTAGTCATCTTATTAAAAAGAGTTTACACGTGGATCATATTCACGGTCCTGCACCTCCTGTGGTTAGCTCGTTTCTGGATATGAGTGTATATTCCTCTAATTAGGTCTGAGCACTAAGGAGACTATTTTAAAGCATTACAACAGGTTCTTCTAGAAAAGTTCATATTAACAGTGTTTGAAGTGGACTTCGGAGGAGAGTTTTGAAGAAACATTTTTGCAGAGTTTTAATTATAGACCCATGAGCTTTAACTATAGACCTGTGATATCAACTTTAATTTGGAAAATGCTTGTATGTATATGCCCCCCCTCAGATTTTTATAACAATGCATTAGAAATGGTGTTTTACTAGGTAAATTGAAATAGCCTGGAAAATAAATTGCTAATATTTCCTGCAGTTTGTTCCAGAAATGTGAGATACGGGGGAGTCGAAAAGGAATCCAGAGGACAAGCACAGACCTAGAGACTATAATCCTGGAGAATCCTGCACAGCTTAAGGCATGAACAGGAGTGAGGGCAGTGGATTTCCACAATCTCTGTCCCCTCCCAGGAGAATACTGTTCATTCAAAACCTGTTATCAGTCTATAGTCTGAGCCTGCTGTCCCTAAGAAAACTGATTTCAAGGCACAGAGGAAGAACAGGAAGAGACGGAAATGCACAGTGCTAAGTTCAGTGGTTGAAGTAGATCCAAAGGGGATGAGGATGTCCCTATTGCAGGTAGCTGCATGGCAGTGGGGGGCTGATGACAGTGCGACTCCTCACCAGCCCAGGCTGGAGTCCATCTGTAATGCTGGGGTGGGCACTTAGGCTTACTTTAGCTGTGGTGGGTTGGCTTCTTTCCATCCCTGTGTCATCTGAATGTGGCAGATGTAACGGCACTTGGAAGAGCATGCTCGTTGGGCTGCATGCTCATTGCAGACTGACCGCTATATAGTACAAACGTACTCTGCACTCAGAAAACTTTGAAGCTAATTGCCTATTTTTCCTTCACAGTGCAGGACGTTAACAGTTTCTTGTTTTCTTTAGTTCAGAGGAGAGGAAAGGTAAGATGATAAACCCTGGGGAATACAGCATTGGTATGTGTCCTAGGTAGTAACTGCTGCGTTCCATGAAGATGAGCAGAGTACAGCGTGATTATAACGTGGGGTGAAATTTCACCGTGAAGGTTTACCAAGGGAAAATTGCAGTTAGAGCATAGTCCTGCCAGAAAGGACAGTAACTAATAGGATGCTGTTAGTTCAGCAGTGTCTGTAAGTAAATACTGCTGCAAATTTTGATGTTCCATCAGTCTAGGCATATTAAGCCCAAGAAATTGAATTACCAGTTTTTAACGTTCCTGAGTAAAGCCATGGTAAGTGACTGCAGGCACTTCAAATGATGCTGATAGCTGCTGCGTGTGTCACAGCGGCGGTGCTCTAGGTGCACAGATGCAGGTAGCGCACAGCAGTGATAATCTGCTACTCGTGGTTGTCTGTCCATGGCTGTAACGCAGGTGCAGTTAGAGCAGCACGAAACTGCTTATATTGTTGTCCTTTGGAAGAAGGTGCCCCATCATAAGCACCTCTGTGCAGGTGTGATTATACCTGTGTGATGTATCAGTTCCTTTGGTTGTAACTGTTAAACTGTCCAGGCTACATATTAGATGGAGCTCTTAGGAAAGGCAGCAGTCTGCTGCTGGGAGGGACTACAGGTGAATGATGTTTTCAGAGCGTTCCTGTTGGAATTTTTTGGTGCCTGCCTGAGGTAAACTGATTTTCTTTCTATATATATCTGAATATAGTATTTGTGTATAAATATACTGCAGAGTGATTATTGGCCTAGGTGTTGCAGGTTGTGCACATTTGTAACATTTCTTTCATGTTAAATCTCAAAAATGTAACACAGAAGCTAAACAACAGATTAAACAAAACAGAAAAAGTATTATTACAAACAACTTATCATTAAAAGTTAAAGAGCCTTTACTCCCTAAGCCACCCCAAAGTCTTTGAGGCAGTTCATACATTAAGTTATTAGGCTGCAAATAGACACATTCCAAAATCTACAAATGGTAGAACATGAGAGAAGTAATGCTTCCTCAAATGACTATGATATAAAGGAATTAATCAGTTTCCTACAGGCTTCAAGCTGTTTATTTATTTATTTTTATTACAAAAAAAATCCATCCAAGATCTGCAGCCTGTAATACCACTTTTAAAACACGCATGCATTTGGTCAGCTGTTAATCAGGCTGCTTATTTTATCCTAATTCCAAAAATAGGAAGCCAGTTCCTTCTGATTTAAATTATTTTGCCGTATCTTCTGGTTTTAGAGGAGTTCTTTCAACTGTACTATTTTCATATTGCTCCTAGTGCAAAAAGACTCACCCAAAGGTGTGTTCGTTCTTACCTTTGATTTTCTGAACACAAAATAGTCCTTTATTTCAGGTAAGAATCATAAATCATCTCAATTCTTCTTGTTATCACTCGCCTCAAAAGCATATATAGATATTTAAATATTTAATTTTAGCACTGTGAATGGAGAATGTGTTTCAGTTTTTAATAGGTATGGCCCTCACAAATACCATAGGTGTCAGAGGTGTCTATAACGTTTAAGGGCTTGTCTGAAACACATTACTACTGTTAGTAATTATGTACCAGACCTGTCTCTAAAAGAGGTATTTCAAGACAGCTCTATCCAGTACAACCTATCCAACTCCAGTGTACAGCTGTTCATCAGGCATGACATCTGTGTGTTACTTCTTTGAGACTTACACAGAGTCTTCAGACATAAGTGCAAGTCGTTGTAGCCATCTGCATTTTGCAGCCACAGTTCCCAAGAAGACCTCTTAAATTTCAAGATGCCCTCCTGCCTGCTGAATGTCTCAGAGTCCGAGAGCCCATAAATCTAGAGCGTCTTTGCAGCTGAGAACAGCAATTGAAGGGCAGATTTTGTTGGAGAGTAAAAAGTGTAATTACAGTTGAAGTCCAACTTCCACTATAATAACTCCTCCTCCTCAGCTCTCATTATAGCCCTGAAAATTGTTTAGGGAATTCTCATCCTTTGCAGGTAGATGGATTAGTGTTTATAAGCATAGGAGATCTCATTCCTTCATGGGGGACCTCCTCCAAGTACCGCTGCCTTTTGTTTTCTGAAATTCTGAAGTTCTCCTATAAACATCTGTGGAAGGTGCATGGATCTGAAAGTTTGAGAAAAGGCTTTAGAGTGACTTTGTTTTATTGTGAAATGACTATTTTTAACAGTGCAGTTGCAGAGCAGTACTGTGGCTGGAGGGTTTTTTTTTTTTTCTCCCCCTTGGGTTAAAAAAAAGGGAAGCTTTCATTTGAAAGCCTTTAGCAGATTTGGAATCCTCTTTCATAGATAAATGTTACAACATAAATCACATAGGCATAAAGTTTATGAATCTTCATGTCAAATATAATTAAATATATTGGATTCTCCAAGAAAAGCACAATGCCCAGGGCTGCTATGCTGTTTTTTATTAAAGATAAGGAAGTAGGGCACTAACTACCTGTATCTATCTATCTATCTCATTCATTTTTGTAAAACTACTTTTCTCGCAGTTCCACGCCAGCCTGGAGTGAGCAATAACCTGTTTGAAATACTTGAAATTGAAAGAGGGATTACTGCTGATGAGTTTGAAGCCAATGATGACCCAGGTAAAGATCACATTCTCTGTCTGGGGCCTGGGATTTAGGATTTTTTTTGAGATTTTATATTTATCTATTTTATACATTTTTACAGGACTCCTGCATCTTACGCCTCTTTCTTTGTTTAAACTATGCTTTGTAAAACTAGGTGACTTTATAGTTTCTTTTCTTGTCAGCTTTATCACAAAATTAGTGGGCTGAATTGTAAATAATAATAGCATCCCCTTTATTGTTTCAGTATTTCTGTAGATTCTTTTTCTAGTGCTCCTTCCACTGCATTTTATTTTTATAAGCATGTTTGCTTGCCCATGTTAGCCACATTGGGGAACTCCAGCAGCTTCCCATCAAAGGGTCAGGATCACTTTTTTTTTCCCCCTCTCTCCCCCTTTCCCCCCCCTCCCCCCCGGTGTGCTGGTACACAGCTGTAATTTTGACAGTGGACTATGTGGCTGGATCCAGGACAAAAATGATGATTTGCACTGGGAAACAGTTCGAGATCCATCAGGTAAGATACACGTGTACAGTTGCATCCTGTGGTTGAAGAACCACCCAAACTTGGTCCTACTGAGGTTGATAACAGTTCTTATATTACAATAAATTTGCACAGACTCTGTTCCCTTTAATTCTGGTATATATTTCACACCCACACCTCTTCTGTATAGAAGAATCAAAGCTGAGCATTTCCAGCACTGAAGATCAGTTGAGAATTTGAACTTTTATCATAGCTAGTATCTTTACATTAGGAATGTCTCTGAAGGAGTAGTGAATGTATTAAATGTATTTAGTAAGAGACTATCTATCTGTCTTAAAAGAATCAGAACAAAAATGTGGACTAGAGAACAACTTTTATCTTATTTTTATCTCCATATTACTAGTGAAATTATAGACAGAGCAGGAAATATCTTTGTTCTGCTGCCAAATACAGTGTTGTTGTTCTGCTCTGTCTCTCGGTGTGATTTTATTAAATTCTGCTCTAAGCTACAGCAACCTTGTATATAGGAAAACTGTTAAGTAAAGGGAAGGAAGTAAAGTTAGGCTGCTAATATGCAGTGACTTCTGAAAATGTACAAGTCATGTCTGGGATGATAAAAGTGACCTTGAAATGAATGTGACAGAGGCCTGTGCACTAGCACTTGCAGGACAGGAGGAGCACTTGCATCTGCACTGGTAGCTGGCAAAAGCAGGGACCCCTTTCACTCGCGTGCGCCTCCCTGCATAGTCCCAGCAGAACTGCAGATCGCCAGAGCTGGACGTTAGTCGTATGTCGTCCCCAGCTGATTTTACCTTACGGCCCTGAGAAGTTGGCTGTCCTTGAGTGAGTACCCTTCCCCCAGCAGCGCTCACCCCGCAGCGCTGGGGATTAGACTCACGCTCTGGCTCCCGTAATGATGGGATTGCTTCATAGCCAGCAGCCTGGCCTTTGAAGTGCCCAGCGCTGCCTTATGTGAGCGGATGGCAGACTTGGGAAGGAAACCCGCTCTCAGGCTGCAAGGTGTTAGAGGTGAAGCTGAGGGAGGGCACTGAGAGCTGGTTTACTTACAGACTCCCTTGTCATAGATGTGTGTGCTTACGTTGCCATTGATGAGATGTTCCTGCGTTGCTGCAGCAGGTGACCCCCCCGCCCCGTACCTGCTTTGGACTGCTCAGCTGCGTAAGGCAATGCTATTTTCACTGACTGGGCCGGCCCCTCCCCACCCACAGTCATGCTCTAGTATTTCATATGCTTGTGAAGCCACTAAAGTCTCATAAATGACTTGGACAGCAGAGCTCCATCCTCCTGCACTCAGAGAACAGGTAACTAACTGTGTCCTGCTGGCATGCTGGCGTTTTAAAAAAGATCACTCAAACACGTATTTTGGAGCAATGAATTTAAAAACGTTTGGTGACATTTTTTAAGAACAAGTAATTTTTTCTCCTGCTTGTATCAGTGGAAAATTTGCCTAAGACAAGCTTACTTTTGGAGAAAGTAAGTTATTCAAAGCATATTAATTAGCTCTAGGCTAAGATTGTTGTTAATATGTATTAAGTTCCAGAACTATGATTTTTTTTTTTTTTAACTGGCTGCCTTTTTTTTAGACCTTTTCGCTCCCTTTGTTGCTTTCCAGTCAGGGACAATCTCAGCTTTTTTTCCCCCCTGTACGTGTTCTGTTGCTGTTGACAGAACCTGTTAAAACTAGTCCCTTGACATCACCCACGCCACTCCCTTCCTGTCTGGAATACCTGGCTTCGGAGATTTATTTTCACAGCTTGTCCCTCAGTGTTTGCGTTCACCTTCAAAAGTTCAATATTTATTGGCTTATCAGAATCCGCATTTTGAAAGGTGCCATGATGAAGCCTTACGAGCTTATCGTGCACGCAGAAGACGCTGCTGTGAGAGGACCTTTTCCTGTAGGGGCTTGCCTGCAGATGCATCAGCTTTGTGCTTAACTAAAGCTGTTTCCTAGTGATTGAATTTAGTCACTAACTGTCTGAAACAGATATAGTTAATGAATCAAGTATTTACTTTTATGCTGATACGATTTTATCTTCACCAAACAGGTGCAGTTATTTAAACTTTATTGTTTTTGTTTTACCAGTTGCTGTTCTTGGTGCAAAAGCTATGCATTAAAAAAAAAAACAAACAAAAACAAGAACAACCAAACCCTTAACAGGTATACCTGGACAAACGGATCCCACTGCGTGCCCACATGCAAATTTGAAGCCTTAGCTAGCCGCATAATACTGTGCTTAGTTAACATTTATTGAGACCAAAGAAATTAAAAAAAAAAAAAATCTATGTTGTAGTAGTGAATTGGAGACAAGATTTGCTTTCCTTTTAAGTGTTTGGTGCCTTATCGTTAAATCTCTCAGCTTCTGAAGAAGATAATTTCTTTCAAAAAGAAGCTTTAATATAAGTATTATCAGGCTGGAGGAAAAAAAAAAAAAACCAAAGCTTTGGTTTAGTAGTAGCAAGAAAACACTTCAAATGTAAAATGTTTTCTTGTTTTGTAATTAAATAAATGCTGTATATATCTGCAATACGAAAAAAAATGCAACATTTCTATAGTACTGGTTTCAAATAAGAAGCCTGCAAGCCACCTTTTCCTTGAGATCATTAAATGTGAATTTTTGATACTCTGCTCTGATTTAAAAAAAAAAAAAAGTGAAACCCCACCTTTGGTCGGTTCAGGTTTGGTTACCATCCAAGTTGAAAAAGTTTTAAAGAAGAGTTTGAAGCAAAAAAGAGAAGGTGCGGATTTTCTCCAAGATTTGAAGTCTCATTTACTGTAGTTTTAGGTGCCTACGTTAATGGGTGCATGGGATTTAGAAGTACCTGCCTCACTTTTTAGGTTTAATGGCATGTTGCCACATTTAAAAGATCCTCTAGTTTTCATATACTAGATGTTTTCATGAAGGTACCATTAAGTAAGTTTGTGTGTTCGGTAGCAACTTACTGTGGCTAGGGAAGACTTCACAGAATGTATCAAGCTACCAGACATTCACAAATTATTGGTTTCTAGTTTTCTGTAGCAAACCCAAATTAAGAGTTTAAATTACAGTTAAAGGCTCTCCATGTTTGTACCTGTTGCTCTCCTAAGCTACACAGTTCCCAAAGAGAAGAAAGAACATAACACCACTGTAGCTCTGTTGCATTGTATCATTTATGCCGGCCTTTGCATTCATCTTATCTAATAGCAAAATTTTGCATCTTAAAACGTGTATAAATGTACACACTAGCTTTAATGGCACTATGGGTTTAAAATTATGTAGTAACAGTGGGGTGGGTTGACTAAAGTGAAGGAATATATCAACTTTTCATTTTCAAAAGATGTACTGTTTGCTTTGTAAAAAAGACATCAGATAGATAGGGAACAACTAACCTGGTACGAGTATAAAGAGCAGGACGCTAACACTATAAAGCCTGCTCAGCCTGGTGGAGGGAGATGCATCAGTTCTGGTTCACATTCTCCATCAACTATAGACTTTATTTAAGATTCACTGGACCTCAGAGACCTCTCCTTTTTTATTTTTTCTTCTCTTTTTAAAATAACTATTAGCAGTTGGTCTTGAAATGCAGTAGAATTAAAAAAGCTAATATCTTTTTCTGTTGCAGGGGGACAGTATCTTACAGTCTCTGAACCTGAAGACAAAGATGGAAGAGTAGCACATCTCATCCTGCCATTGGGTCACCTGCCTCAGGCTGGAGACTTGTGCCTGTCATTTAGGCACAAGGTGCCTGCACTGCATTCTGGTGCCCTCCACGTCTTTGTGAGGAAAAATGGTGCTCTCGGACCAGCTGTTTGGGGAAGAAAGGGTGGCCATGGCTGGAGACAGACGCACATAACTTTGCGAGGCTTGGGCATCAAGAGTGTAAGTACAATTCCAGAAACTTTTTTTTTTAGCATGAGAAAGTGAAGACACTTAGATGATGTAGCACTGGCTTACTTGTTTTCTGGGTCCAATTTCAGTCTCCGTTTTACTGCTAAAGTTATCTTTGCCAATGGAGTCACGCTTAGGATGAGAGAACCAATGCCTCTTTTTTTTAAATTCATTCTATGTAGAAACCCCACCTACAGTGTTATACACACGGGAAACTGCAAAATAGCCTGTAACGATCTTCCTCTTACAGTTTTTATTAAGAGTGTCACTTACATGTAGAAAAGAACAATCCAGTGGACAAAGGCATACAAAAAAAACTTTAGCAGAATTCCTCATGAAAGACGCTTAAAAAAGTCATATGCATTAATAACTAGTTAAAACATAGTAAGGGTATAGAAACTATTTATTTTTGGTGATGCAAGGAGGTTACCAGCGCAGTCTGTTAGGGTTTTGTGCTGTTCAGCATACCCACAGTTGATCCGGACAGGGAGGTGAATGATGCCAGTAACACAGAACTTTAGCACCATCAGAAGAAGCTATCTATCTGAAGTATCATGGAGGCTCTTTTAATGCCTGATAGTTTTAGAGACATTGGATAATAAAATGATGTAACAAAAGCTCAGCAATTTTCCCACAACCGCTGCTTCTATTGTGGATCTGAAGAAGGGGCTTGGGTGCCTAAAGACCTGTTGTGTTCTGACTACCTCAGGTGGTCTAGAAACCTCACACTGGTGAATGCTGTAACGTTCATGGAAGGAACTAGCCATGTGTACGTTATGTGGCCTTAAATAACTAATATTTATCACACAAGAATGCTGGAATTACTGCAGATAGTTTTCTGAAAACTATCTCAGCAAAAAAAAAAAAAACCCTGATACTCTGTTAGGAAAAAGAAATTGATAAACCAGAAGACAGTCTGCCATCGTGTAAGCGAATGTCATAGACTGAGACTCTGGCGGTTTATACCAAGTGAACAATATACTTGGCCAGAAGTGTTAAGTTTAGAGACATGCTCAGAGGCAGGGTGCTGAGTGAAATAAAGCCCTTGTGGAGCAGTTCTTTAAATAAATGAATATTACTAACATAGTTTCTGTCAGAATATTAAATGAATTTTAGAGATCCCAACTCGTAAACGCAGACAATAGTTCTCCCTTTGCACTTGTCCCCTGCCTCTCTGTATGGCCTAGACAGCGGCTGTCCATCCGTCTGGCAAACCGCAACAACCACTGGCTGCCTCACGGTGCCATACTAAACAGTCAGGTTTGGGGACTTTTCCATCTCTTGTGGGAATCCTGGTCTGCTGACCTAAATGATTTGTCACGTTTATTCAGAGGATTGGGGAATTTAAAAAAAAACCTCCAGGTAAGCAGGGAAGCCCCTGTCATGGAGGAACCAGCGCAAACAAGGAAACTTAATTTTCTAGATGATAGATAAAAACCAAAAGTGACTAAACACTAGTGATTTTGGTGGCCTAGTGAAAAACCTTAGGCGGGGTGTATGAATGGAGACCAGAATCCTTTATCACACTTCTTAAAGAATTAGCTCCGTAAAACTATTTGTAGCGCACATCCAAAATCACTTATTTCTAAAATAATGTTTCAGTGTATTCAGCATAGCATTTCTCTTACCTCCCCTCTACCTAGTCTGTGTTTAAATTAAGCGTATGCTCTCAGCAAGCATCCAAATTATTGTTACTGCACAGCGGAATTTCTGATCCATGAATCTTTATTAACTCTTTCTAACTTGGTGAAAACAGCAGAATTATGAAGTCTTGCTGTTTGCTTTGAATGATTTTGAAACCATGGACAAAACCACTGACTGTGCATTAAAGCAGTTCAGACTTGTGAGGCTATTGCAGTAGAACAGGAGGCAATATTAATTTATGAGAATGGTTTCTTAGAGGAAGTCTGCTCACCATTATATAGATCACTCTCTGCATGATTTATGCTGCAGTCCTTTTAGTCAAGCTTCCTACTTGTTGAATCTTCTCCTACTCGGGCTAAGTGTGGACTGCTAATGACGTGCTTAAATCAATTCTCCAAGAAGCCAGTGCTTCTTTAGGTTACGGTGATTTTACAGGAGCCAGAATTCGTTCCATAAGGGATGTGTGTTTCTAGTTCCCACAACTATGTTTGGCATTCAGACTAAGCCAGCTGCAAGGTGTATTAGGAATGGAAGGCTCCTCTATAAGAAAACATTGTGCAGAATACACATAATTTTGTGTTTGCTGTGAGGAACAATGAGGATGTTGTAGCGATGATATGCAGAAAGATCCTTAAGCAGCTAAACCTTAGCACCCTCCAGCACCACACATTAGAGTACGTGGAAGTTCATCTCACCTCAGCTCTGCCACCCGGAACCATGCTTTTTGATCACCACCTTGGTTTACCGTGACTCAAACTTGACTTGCTGTTTCTTCACTAAGGTGCTGCCAAAGTGAAAAAGGGAGAGGATCAGAAAAAAAAAAAAAAAAACAGCCTTAATTCTGACCAGAGTAAACAGGCTTTTGTGAGTCAGTTAAGACTGTCTGCACTTTCTTACGCTTTGCTTTTTTTCTGTTGAGACCTTCTTAATCAAAGATTCTTTCATTTTATTTTTGCACTCCAACTTGTCTATTTCTTTTCCCAGATTGTTTTCAAGGGGGAGAAAGGGAAAGGAAGAATGGGGGATATTGGACTAGATGATGTCATCTTGAGGAGAGGACGCTGCTCTGAAGAACATTAGCAAAGACAGTGGACTAGCACAAGTCATCTCCTCTAGCCCGTCTCATCCTCTCCCTACCAAGCTTCAAAACAAAACTGCATGAAAAAGAAGAAACGTTTGAAGAGTCGCAACTTCTTGATGGTGTGCTAAGTGCAATCTTAGTGAATCTGCATTGAAAATAATAAAGAGCACCTACCAGGATTCAGGAACTCCAAACCAAAGCTGGGTGTTCCCATTAGTCTTTGCCCCAGCTGTATTTTGTATGTAATAGCATTATCCCTGTAAAGCCCGATGAGTGCTCGTACCAAGAAGCACTTGTGAAAAAGGGAGAATTAATGCCAAATGTTGTCAAAAGACAGCCCCAGCTTATAAATACTAACAGCATTCATTATTTTCTGTACTGCACTAAACCAGTAGTTTTATTGATTATACTGATAGACAGTGGGATTGACCTAGCTTCAGAGCTAGCTCAGGCTAGCTGAGGCCTGGGCCTGAACTTTGGCTGTCTTACTGCCACTGATCTTTAAAGAAGGGTTTGCTGCATATCAGATAGCATTTATTTTGGCATTGTATCTGTAGTAACAAAAAGCAGTTATATAGAGTAGGTACTGCGTCCTGTAATATTGCTACTGCTGTGTTTTGTGTATATGTGTATGGTTATTAACGTATTTATGTTTTTAATATTTACAGACTTTAGTTGCAAGGTAAATGTCAGCTGCGCTTTCTTATTGTACAAGACAGGAGCTTATCACACTCTCCGATTCTGCTGGTCGTGCCAATAGATACGTTACCAAAATCAGTTAATGGTGCTCATTGAAAAAACATTTCCTGACAGTTCCCTTTTGCACAAAATGCTGCTGCAATTTGTCATGGTACAGTACGCTGAAGGCAAAAAAAAAAAAAAAAAAAGCAAATCCTCACCTGATACAAGCTGGCATCTGGTCATGCCACACAAGTTTGCATTTAGCTCAGGAGCAAGCCCAAAAGGACTGTCAATCCTGCAAGCACCTTCCTGTTAAGTTGAAGGCTGAGCAGCCTGGAGAAGGTACGCTGCATCTTGTATGACTGAGCCTGTTGAAACTACAAGGCACGTTCCTTCCCTTAGGTAGCTCAAGCCGTGGTTTTATGCCATTACCACCCACCTGAAAAAATGTAAGCAAAAAAGGCAGCTGTGTTAATGCTATACGAACAATTTGGACAGCAAAAATGCATCGAGTGATCTTTGTCAAATGTCCATATTCCATCCAAGTGTTTTGTATACAGTAAACATTTTTCAGCACTAAAACAAATATTAGCTCTAGCTGGAACTAAATATTTAGCAGAACTTTGAACTACATTTTTAGTTATATATCTTGCATGTGACGTGCAGTTTCCCAGGAAATTTCTCTAGTTTGGGATTTTTATATGAGAAACATCATCATCATTACTGTCAACAATTATAAATTTGAAAAAGTAACTGCAATATTTAAGAAAAATGACAAAGCTTGATAAAATGTTGTTAGTGGCACAGCCCTAAAGCATCAAAAAGGCATACATGGAAGAAAATAGGCTTCAGGTCTTTTAAATACTTGCACGTAACATAAAATAATTGACAGTTTTATAGTATGGAACTGACATTTCAAAAACAATCCATGTTAAGCCTTACACAAAGTCCACAGAGCTAAAACGGCAAGCCCATTAGAGGCCCTATTCCAAAAAGCTGTTTCCGACAAAGTATTGTTTTAAGAATTTTTTTCCACTCTGTTCTGTAGGACACCCTAAAGCACAGTATGTATAGCAAAGTCATTTGACTAAACAGCTATTCTTTAGTAAACGTGCATCAAGAAACTTTTTGAAATGGAAGAAATAATTCATTTGTAAAATCTTTCTTTAAAACTGTTTTGCTTTGCCTACGATCATGGTGTTTTACGTTATTTTGAAATATGTCAGAAATATTTGTGAATATTTGAAATGCCTTATCATTATTTTGAAATAATCAGTAAAGGCAGCTGTTATTTCCTACTAATTGGAATGTCTTGTTTTCATTTCTGGATGAAAAGTCTCATTTGTAGTGTAATGAAACAGGTCAAAAGATGATATGTCAACCAATCGCAAGTAGCTAAGTACTTAGCACTGTCACATGATAGTGAAATCTACTTTTGTTTTAAAATTTGCTAACACTATTATATTATTCAAAAGGAAGAGTGACAATTTTCAGCCTTGCTTTTTTTAGAACAATTTCACAGGTAATTTAGGAGTTTCAGAGATTTAAAAGGTCCATTTTGCAAGAAGCAAGGTGCCCCTATAGTCCCACACACAACTGAACATGTACAAATTGTGTTCTATGGCATCTAACAGGATTAATATCATATAAAATGGACCAAGAGGGGTCTTTTACCCACTATTACTACAGTTCTCTGAGCTTTAGACTCCCTTGTTAAAACATAAATCTGTTCCCTATCTATGCAAGGCTGAAAGAGTTTTTAGCCATTTGCAAATGGGCCTTGGAACCCAGAATTTGAATAAGTACAGGAGGTAAATAGAAATATGTACTCAGATGATAACAGGAAGATTTGGGGTCTCTGCATATTTATGCAATTGCTGATATAATATAATATAATTTGCTGATATATGCTAATTACATTCCCATGCTGCATGTGATAGGGTTAAACAAGCACCATCATAAAGCTTTATAAAGCACTGAAGTCCCAGTTGATGGTGGCTGTTGGGTAGTCCTGGAGAGTCTGGCTCCAAAAGAGCTGTTAGGGTGCTAAGTGACTCACCTCTGCAGCCAGTCGTGCTGTGACACTGTGTCTGCCACCTTCCCTCCTCCATGTTTACTTAGCGCTTCAGCAGAGACGCAGCAAGGCCGGTTTGCTGCTGGGGTGAAACGCTCCCTCTCCATTGTGCTCTGCACCTGCCTCACCAGGCAGCCCTGCACAGGCCCCCATCTCAGCCGGGAGGAGCAGATGCTGCCCTTTCCATGTGACCCTCAAGAAAGAGATCAGAATATGGCCTGAGGTCTTCCTAAGGAGGAGTTTATAGCTACCCTCGTGGTTTAGTGTTTAACAAATGGGTAACAGCACCAAAACAAATTCCTGCTTAAGTATTTATGCATGCAGAGGAAATTGCACTAAATTAACATGAAAACAGTTATCAAACAGAACGCATAGCCTCTTACTGGCTCATAATTTAATATTTTAAAAAGAGATGTTAAACCCTTTTCCCCAGACTGAAAATAAAGACGCACTGTACACTGCAGCTCCTGCGACCAAAGGGCAGTGTGCATTTGCTGAATTGCATCAAAGTGAGGACACTGGAAGGGCTCTAGGCAAGCTTTTCATTTTCCAGTTGCCATTCTATTAGAGTTACCGCTCGTCTCATTAAAGCCATGTCATTAAGTAAGTCACTAGCGAGTGCATTTGGTAAACCCTACTCATTTTGGAGCAATGTTTCCCTAAGCTTCCTTTGTAAATTATCTTAGACTTGGAGGCCAAAACATTGTTTTTAATACAGCTGGAGATTGCAGTAAGAGTTCACCCAGAGTCAATTAGGCATGCGATGACGAGCCTGTGCAAAAGGCCACTCATGAGGGCAGACCGTCGTCAGGGAGAAAAGACACATAGCACCCAATCTAAATGCCAGCTTGCCCTCTAAACGCCCACTATGGCTTGTTCCTCCCAGCAAATGACGCACAGTCGTTGTCCCAAAGGCTGCTAAAACCAGAGAGAGGGCTTTGGCTCGAGCTATGCATCACCAGGGGTCAACTTGAAACCTGTTCACTCTGCACTTAAAGGTATACATCAACAAGCTAAACTTTACCTGTCTGTCTGTAAATTTTCAGTTGTGATTTTTAGTAAGATGAAGAGTCACTACTTTTCAACCAAGACCCACTTAAATGCTATGCTTCTTATTCTTGTATAGTTCAAACATCAAATTACCAAATTGTTCTGGTTGTAAAACAGACACTATCTGTTACCTGCTGATCTATCCCGATGTCCTGTAGCTACACAAGGTTTTATCACTTCATTTTTTTCCACAGCAATAAAAATCTAGCTGAGCTAAGGCTCAGTGTAAACCTGCAACTTTAAAAATGAAAAAAACGACATTTTAGTGATAAGCTCCAGCAGTGGTCTGAAAGAACACACACAAAAAAAAAAATCTCTCATGCTTTGAAAATTAATACATTCCCAGTGCACACCTACTGTAGCAAACTGAACTAATGACAGCTGAGGAAATAAATAAATTTTGAAAGTTCCTAATACAGTAGTTGTATGTGAGGAAGATGCCAACCGACTGAAGAACTTCAGGGGCCATGAAGGCAACTTTAACTGTGAAAACAGACCCCTACAGAGTTCAGGCACCAGCTCCATGTGGGTTTTCAGAATATCATCAAGTTAAAAAAGGAATTAAATCCCATTCTAGAGCTGCTCTTACCACTTTTCCTTGCCCACTTTCATGACCTCTTCTAAGCCCAAACCCTGTTCCCTTGCTTTGAAACAGACTGTCCTCTAGAGAGTGCTCTTGCTGGTTCTTTGGGTTGAGCTAACTTATTTTTTTTGGAAAAGGCATGATTTATCTTTGATATCTCTGCTCTTAAACTTGTCAGCCTGTATAACATTCCTGGGATCAAGACAGTAGTTTCTTTTCATAGCAAATAAACGAATTACTGTATCTCAGTGCTCACTGGGCTGCTCCATATAGCTTATTTTCTTTTCCATTTTTCTCCAGAGAAATCACTAATTTAACTCCAGAGAACCAGATGGGATATCACACTTACACGTGCTCGATACACATGAAAAGAGTAGATCTATTCCCTCAGTTCCTCAACAGAACGTCAAACAAGAGGCAGTGGTCCTGACTTTTCCGTATAGCAGAGAATTTTTTCTCTCTCTCCATAGATCAGGCATTCCACCATCATTCTTCTCTTGTTGCCTCCCAATATCTTTTGAGAATCAACTAATTCTTCTTTTTCTTCTTGTTCTAGCAGTATTTAACCTCATGCTGTAGTAAACGGGCAGATTTTTGCCACTCTACTGCTGTTCCTGTGATCCAGCCATTAAAGGCTCTCCAACGCCAGAAACTAGCCTTCATTGCTACCAAACCACTCTTTTGCTACAGAGATCACAGACGCCATATTCCTAGAACAGAAGCGACACCTCTAAGCCATCTCTGTGCTCTTTCTACTGAGAACATTATCTGTAAATGTATATACACTGTACTATATGCATATATACACACACACACACATATATATATTCACTCCTGTGTATATGTGTACATTCAGTTGTGCAAAGCACACTTCATCTTTAGCCTCACCGCTGGACCCAACAGCTGACGTCAGTATTAATCAGGTGAGAAAGCGAGCCAGGTATATATCTAGCACATAGAAAAAAGACTCTCTTTATGCAATACAACCAAGTCCTGTCTTCATTTGACTGCAAGATAACTACAGCATTTTTTTTTTAAGAAACTTTTCCAGTTATTTTGTTAAACTATTTTATGACTTTTTACCTTTTATTCAGGCTAGGAATAGTCCTGTTTATATTCTTCTTCCCCCAGGTTTCTCCCCATTGTGCATTTTGACAGCGCAGTCTCCTGCTTCCGACTCTCAGGCAGAATAATTTTGATTCCTTCCACGCTGGGCATATCCTAGAATGACAACGTGCCACATGTACTCCCAGAGACTGACTTCACTGCATGTTCATGCAACATCTGTTAAAAGTCTCCCCAGGGCTAAAGATTGGGATTGCTATTTACACGGGACTTCAGGGAGATGACTGCACTGCCCAGCAGTGCCCCAGCAGAAGGGGTGCACCACCTCCCCTCTTCTCTTGCCTTTTGCCTGCGTCCCCCCCAGGGCCCTGGTACCTCAAGCCAGAAGAACGGACTCACCAGATTCCTGCCTCCCAGGATGGTCGAAGGCAGGATCCCCCCATGTGTGAACCAGGATTACCACGGCATGCATAAACTCCTGTTCCGCACTTGTAACTTCTAACTGCAAACAAAAAAACCTTTCAAAGAAAACTAGCTTTGAAACAATAAAAGGACTGTCTTTGCCAGTGTCTGTCTGTCTCTCTTCTCCTCGAGGAAGCTGGTAGTGTTAAGCTTTCATAGAAACTGCAAAACCTCTTGGATCTGGTGGCACAGTTGTATAAGTAATATTCTGCTTGGTTTAGGAGAAGTTTTCGTTTAAAATAGTTCAGTTTGTAATAAGAGTATGACACGGACAGCAAAATAGAACCCTTCTTTCAGAAACGCTTCCCCAGGCCGTTTTTCCGATGCCCCGACACGCACACATGCGGTTTGCCTCTCAGCTGCTGTGGCTGGCCTGCCATCAGTATAGCTGCTTTGCAAAACGTACTTTGCAGATCTATACATGCAACAGACCCAGCAAACATGCAACCAATCACCAAAAGCCAGAGCTAGGGCACGCAAGACTAAAGCAAGAAGGCAGTGGGAGGAGCGGGGAGAAGGAAGGGGTAGCACTTCCTGCTACTCCCTGCGCACGCATGCTCCATCCCTTTCTATGTACACCAAGCTGCGGCTGCGGGGCATTCTCTCAAAAGGCACCATGAATAAACCCCAGGATCCAACGCCCCAGGATCCGGTTCCCAGCAAGGGTCACGGCTGGTGTCCCCAGAAACGATCACACTACGAAAGGGCACCTTCTTGTACCCCTGGGGAAAAACCAGGGCCACTGACCACAGTTAAAACCCTCAGGTCTTGCAACCTCGTGAAAACCAGAGGGGGACAAGCAACTTGCTTTGTTGGCTGTACCTCTGTGGTGCTCAGCAGTCTGACGTGGAAGGCCAACAGCTGCCCTTGGACGCCCTCCTGCCACGGCCTTCGCGCAGCACCTTCTCAGAGAAGCCCCTTGGAGCACATTGCCCAGGAGCACAGGCAGGACAGTGGGAAGCCCCATGCACGCTCATGCGAGAAGATCCGCACGGTCCACTCTTAAACATGTCCTCCTCAGATCGTTGTCTTGGCTTGTCCCACGGCAGCTCCACGAGGTTCTGCTAAGAAAGGAAATACCACCAATTTAAAGTGTGGTTTTACACAATTTTGTTCCCAGATGAGCACAGGAAACTGTATACACATGTACCATAACCGCGCAAAGAAAGGTAAGCAGCCAAATGTGTATCATGATTTGTGATCAGTAAAAGATCAAAGGCAACATCCACATTTTAAATTAAGAAAAAACCAACTGTCTGACTTAACAATTTTCTTGCCTATTATATTGCTCCGGGAAACGCTGGAGCACATTCACTGGATTGTAATACCAGAGTTTTGCAATGCCAAGCTCCAGCAAGCTTCCTCCTCCTCTATCAGACTCTTCCTTCTACTTACAAATGGCAAGCGTTGCACAGTGAGATGTACAAAAGCCTATCATATCCCCAGCTTCAGTCCTAGCACAAAGGCAAGAATTCCTCGTAAGGGAGCGCGCACACAACATGTGCCAGCCCAGCTGGAGATGACAACACCAAAGTTCACAGCAAAGACCATTTTGAAATCCAGAAAGATATGAGTAAAGAACTAAACTCAAATGAGCATTGAGCAGTGCCAGTTATGCTTTCAAACAAGAACAAGAGAAAAATACATGGAAGATTATTTAAATCAAGAAATGAGATTACTACGGTTCAGTGAGGTGCTCAAGAGAGACCCTGAGAGATCTCTTCCTTCAATTTCCACCCCTCTGATGTTCTGAGTTAGTTCAGGACATTTTGGCATCCTATCTCAGTTTCTTAGACCAGCCGGAGGACAGGAGAAAATGTGAGCCCATAGGGCTCTTCAAGGTTTCCATGCCCAGATGGGATGTTTAGTGTTCTCCCTTAAATATCAAATACACATGATTCAAGTTACAGTCACTTGGAGTGTACAAACAGGGCTCTAAGATAGTAAACTCACTCACTAATATTTAAACCCACAATTCTATAGCGTACAACAATTTACATAGAAACCAGACACCTTTATTGCATAGTTATAGGTGCCATTAAGCTATGAGCAATTCAGTCACCCTCATGTTGTATGCCACTGGTTTTATCCTGCTTATAAAAAGATTTTTTAATTGGCTGAACTCCATTACTGAAGGCTGATTACTAAAACTGAGTGATGTTTAATCACCCACAAGGTACATTAGGCAGTTTTGTGGGGTGTTACGGGATCTCAGCATTCTGGCAGTTCGGTCGTGTGTTAGCAAGCAGCCCTGGCAGTCATGCTCTCCTTGTGAAGCTTACTGTGAGCTACTCCGCGATCCTTAACTCGAGTCATTTGTTTTCCAAATGAATATACAAAATGGAGTCTTGAAAAAAACATTTCATTAATCCAAAAAATAGATAGAGGAAGCACATGGTACATCCAGGGATGCCCTCATCATCATAAAGAAATTGGTTAGGTGGTTAAAGGGCTAGACCAAACTTAAAAGGGTTCAAATATGGCTCTGCCACAGAGTTGCAGCCCACAGACCCCGTCCCTCAGGCTCTCTGTAACACTACTTCCATCTGCTGTTCATACATTCCCCGCTCTGGATACTTTCTTGTCTAAAGTCTGTGCTCAGCACTGTAGGAAACGTACAAGTCTCCAAGGCTGGCTGAGACCAGGTGGATCCCTAAGGCATGCGCTCTCTTCATTTTCCTCTCCAGTTTAGTCAAAAGTCTAAGCTGTGATACTAAGGACACCATGCAAATTCAAACACTGTGTTGGATTCCCTAATGAAAGCAGGAAAATTTTACTTCCGTGATGTAATTGCTACTGCAAGTCTGTTTCCTTCCTCATGAAGGACCTCCAGGAGAGGAAACCCATTCCGTACCACCTTACACCCTAGCTGCTGACATCCAAATCAATTACATACTCCAACTAAGTCCCAAGTGTGCAGGTAGCAAACCGCACCACAGAAATACGGCAACATCCTGAACATGTAGCGAACAAATCTGAGCTATGTTTATGACCCTTCAAGCAGCAATTTAATAAACTAACTACAGGCTAAACCACAGAAGGTACAAATGGGGACTGAGAGCAATCCCCACAACTGCACTCCCCAGCTTGGGACTGGAAAACAACTGGATTCTATTTCTGGCCCTGCAATGCACTGAATGACACTTCAACAGGTGAATTTTCCGCTGACCAAGCTCTCCGGGACAGCCCAGGAACACAGTGTTTCCAGACCACATACAGTTACCAACAGTGACTACAAATTAATCTTGCAGCATGTAAAATAATTTGGGGAGGATTTTCAAACCTCATCATTAAAAACACCCTTGAAAGAACAGCTGTGTTCAGATTGCCAAAATGGACACCCCAGCTCTCAAATCCCAGTGACAGGGCAACAATTCCTTACAGGATGGACTGCACAGACCAGCACTGCCCTTTGACTGCAGAGCTTTTGGGAAGGTGAGCCTCCTACAGGAGAACTGGAAGTGTTTTGGTCTTACTCACTGAAACGTCCATGGGCCTCACCTTACTCTCAAGTCCCACCCTTGCAATTCATCATGATTAAAACTTGTTTCTGTAGTAAATCACTTTAACACTTGCCTTCAGGGGAGCTGTGTGGAGTTCAAGTGTGGCAGCTGCAGCAGAGACCATCCCAGCTTTGCACTCCAGCCTTTCGGACAAGGATGGAGGGACCTGGCACCATCCCTGGACACGTTCAAGGCATCAGCAGGAGTTTGCTCTGTGCACCTTTCCACCCCACTATTTATTACTGCTCTAAGTAAGGTGGATGAATTCATCCATGTGGCAGATAAAAGAATTGGGTAAACGCTTACATTTTCCAGACAGAAGCAAGTAAATTCCATTTACTTGAAACTACTCACAAATGCTACTGTTAAGAACTGTTCTCTTGATACACAGCTACAGCAATGACAGGTCAACAAGCCTAACCTGCAAAAAGCAGTTAAAAAGAAGCAGCATGATAAAAAGCTTTTATTATTCAGCATCATTAATGAGGGAAGCTTGCAAACAAGGTTAATTTGCTTGCAACTCCCAGAAGCATGGACCTCTGACTCAGCCCTTTGGTCACTGCCACCACTAGGCTAGACATCCGCAGTCCTTTTGTAGCTGCCTTCGTTGGTTTCAGTAGTGCAAGATCAAGTCCTTAGTTATTACCATAGAAGACACCTTGCTTCTGATTTAAATGGATCCTCTCAGCTGCTCAGAGAAACTCATGTGACTTTCTCTCCTGAGGAAAAGGAATAGCTGAACTGGGCATCTAGAAGGCTGCTGTGCAGGAAGCAGAGAAAACCAAACACATACTAAAAAAGAAGTCGGGCAGCTCTGCAATAAAAAAGTGGATCAGATACTGAAACTGTCACTCTCCATGAGCTGTTTGTTTCTGGTTTTTTAGTTGTTAGTTCAGTAACAGGCATTTCTCCTGTCCCTTGTCAAGCAGTTGACAAATATGCTGCAGAAGATCCCCATGTGCTCCAGTAACAGAAATCCAAGCAGTGCTTCAAAGCAAATGGAGTAAATGGAGTTCTTACACAAAATAACAACTGTTGTTTAAAATCATACTGCTGCTGCATGTGAAAATGAACTTCTTTTTCCCCCTCCACATAAAACACCTGAAATGCAACATGCAGACATCCTCCCTACTCCACCATGCCCAGCTTTGTATTACAGCTTTTTTTTTTTAATCTAGGTACAACATGTCATCACTAGCTCCTACATGGACTGCTCCACAAGTCTCCAAGTGGATTCTTCAATTAGACAAGGGGTATCAACATTTGAAGTCTTTTACAAAGTCCACTTGTACCAACACTAAACCACAGCAACAAAAAGAAAGAGCTCTTGCAGCCTCACATTTCAACATATTTGAGTTTCACTGCATAGCTTCCAGTCCAGCCCATAGCAGCAGCAACTTGTCAAAAGCCTCCTGAACAGACCTACCAGCGATATTATAAGCTGTATACTTGAAATACAGACAGCCTAACCAGCACATGCTGGCTTGCTCAGGCATCTCTTCACGTGCAACACACAGCAAAGAACAGACGGGATGTCAAGGGGCATCACGGCACCCGCACGTGTGGCCACACTGGGGTGTCCGACCCCTGGCAGGACCCAATTCTGCAACCACTGCCCCTGACTTTACTTAGGAGTGGACTGAGCCCCCAGGGTGAATAGATTCAAATCAAGACTCTGCAACTCAAACTAGAAGAAGTCCTATTTGCTTCTCAGTCTTCATGGTTTGGCAATCCATAAAGAAAGAGTAACAATGTGAATTTATACAGCCTATCAACCCTGTGCTACACTACCGTACAGAGGGAGCTGTAGCAATCAGGATCCTGGCAGGCACCATTGATAGACAACATGAGAGCAGGCACTGGCATTGCTTCTAAGCATAGCTAATTCTTTAATTAAGCAAGAAGTCACTAAACAGAGTTAATTCAGAATGGGAATGTTTCCTTATCTTGCCCATGGTGAGCATGGGTGTACTTTGGAGTTGGAGGCACCCACTGCAGCTTACCACGCGGGGGTACAGCTCCCATCCATCCTCTGCATGGGTTGCTTCCTCTCCCTCCACCTCCTTTTCCAACACCTCACATGGCGATTCAAGTTTCTCAGCTGCATTTTTTCTCTTACCCTCCAGTTTTTTTTAGGACCCTAACTTTCTCTTCATCTTTCAGCTCTGTGGTGCTGCCGTAGCCTTGAGCTTTTGAGGAAGAACAGCTCCAGCAGGCTAACAAAGCTGCTCTCCTCAGCTCATATTTTTAAGTTTAGACCAATCTACCAAGAAGATTCATGTTAGGTATAAAGCCCTGCACCTGGCAGTGTTTGCCAGATCCTGCCCAAACAATAATAAAGTTTCTCTGCATCAGAGCTGAACCCAGAGACTGTTTTCTCTGGCACCAGAGGCCCATTTGCTCCTCGAGATAAATACTAAGCAAACAGAAATTTTTTTGACTTTAGGAACTAAGATGTCAGAACTTTTTCCTGCAGCCATGGTCACACCCTTTGTGCATGCAACACTGAGCTATTTTTAAAAAATTAATTCCTGAGGAATTTTCCTAATAGCTAGAAGGCA